ATATATATATATATATATATATATATTTAAATATATATCTTTTAATCATGAGTTCCCATTGATACTCTTTTTCCAATCCAGTATTTATATCTCACTTCAATAATTTTCTCTTGTAACATCTTACTTAAAAGACATGATCCTTCATGATCTATCTCCTGACTACTTCTGCCCCCTTGTAGGCACGATTTTTTGTGTCTTATGTACCTGACACACTAAACTACTTGAATTTAATGTCTTTCTTAGATCTGGGAAAGTCTCAACTTCAGATATTGATTTCTTGATCCTCAGATTCTTGATTTCTTCTGGATACCACCTTCCCTCTATTTTCTCTATTATGTCCTTTTTGGACTCTTATTAGACTGATGTTGAAACTTTTGGATCTCTCCTTTGCTTCTCCTATTTTTCTTTTATATTTCCTAACCTTTATTTCTCTGTTGTGTTATAGGAGAATTCTTTGGTCTTTTTCCCGAACTCACAAATTACTTGCAGGGTCTATCCTGCTCTTTTGCATTATTACATTTTTAAAAATTTTCACAGCTTTTCATATCCAAAATCTCTAATCGGTTGTTTTTCATAATTTCTTCTACCTGTTTTAAGAATGTAAATACTTTAAGAAGAAAACCTCTCTCAAGTAATTATACTTATTTTAAGATTCTGTTTTGATTGGTCTACTGAGTTGTTTTAAGGAGGACGATCTAAATCTTTTCATTTGATGAGATTTTATTTCATAGTATGGAGGCTTCTTAAATGTTGGATAATTCTTAATTTGCCTAGTTTTGCAGTTTAGATTCTCTGTTGGATTAACGCCTTTCTCCTCCTCTGCTCAACTGCTCTCTGAGGTTGGGGTGGGAGTGAGAGCTCATATGAGATTTGCAGGCCTCGCTGCTACCAGTGGGTGTCCAACTGATCTCCACTTAGTTGTCCATGGGCCTCCTTGTTGCTCCTCCATGATTGAGCAGTGAGTATTCTTCATGTTGCCCAGTGTGTGATTTCCCACCTGTCCTCTGAGCTTCAGCTTTCCTCTTTGGTCCTGTGCTATCTGCCTTCAGCCTTTAGGCACTCCTCCTTTCTGGGCTGATGAGTTTCTCTCCTCCTAATTTTTGAGTGTTTCTGTATATGCACATTTCCCTTCCTCCCTCCCCCACGCCTCCCTTTCTTCCTTCCCTCCATTTCTCTCTCCTTTCTCGTCCCCTCCCTGTCCCCTCTTTGTTTAATCATTTCTGTGATTTGACAGGGAGAGGAGTTGTGGGCTTAGCTTTCCATTTTGAAACTGGAATCTAATGTACTGTTGTTTTTTCTTACATCCAGATCTCTGCATATGCTATACCCTCTAATGGGAGTGCCCCTCTGCACAACTTCTGTCATATCTGCATGGCCAATTCATCCTTATCCAGTAAATCACTACCTCTTCTGTGAAACCTTTCCTTAATCCCCAGGCAGAGTCAGTTTCTTCCCTTCTGTTCCCATGGTGATTTTGCATACTTTATTTTAGTATTTATTATATGTATTATATTATAATTTGCAGTCACGTCTATGTTGGCTCAGTTGACTATGAGCTTTTATCTGTGTATATTTCTTGTTTGATATATGGTAGGTACTCAAACATTTGTTCAGTTAGTGGATGAATGGTTTTAAACAAGATGAAATTAATTTCACATATAGATGTGATTGCAAAGTAATTACCAAGCTAAATCTGATACTCAACCCGAGGATTTTTATTGCTTCCCTCCCCCAGTCCCTTGCAATACATGAAGCTGTGCTGTGTGTTCTCCTGATAATTCCTCTCTTGAGCTCTTTTTAGAATTAGTTCAGCAAACACAATCAGTCTCATCGTTTCCTTTGTTACACATGTTTTGACAAGGTTGACTTGTATGTCTTCTTCATCACATTTGGCTTTGAACAAATTTTGGCTTTTACTAAATATTGAACCTGTCTTTAAAAGAGAATTTTTTTTCCTGAACATGCCTAGAGGGTATTCATAGCCTTAAGCTCCCCAAAATGGGTGTCGTGTCTTCTTTTCTTTTTGAAGTTTTGATAGAGTCGAGTACATTGCTAGGCTAGAATTCTTAAAAGGATTTCTAAAACTTTCAAGCACTTGGCAACATTGTACGAATCACCCTACAGATTCTGAAAGCCCCTGCTTTGAAAGAGATGCCATTCATTTGAATTCCAGAGTTACAATGTGTTTGCTTAAAAAAAAAAATAGACATTTGTGATACCTTAAAAGATGTCACATAAGAGAAGGAACAAAGACATGTTAACTAGAAGTGTAACACTGATGTCCAGAGTCCCTGTGACCCTGAGGTAGGCTCACAGGAGTGATCTCCTGAAGAAGACACCACAATTTAAAATTATTTTGGGTCCTCTTATGGTTCCTGGTGAAATGCATAATGTAGGTTTATTTATTCTATAAATGTTTTGTTGGTTTTCGTGCTATACCCACCACATAATGACAAGACATTTTTTCCTTTTGGGTGCATGTGAAGGAAAAGCAATGTCTTCTGTGCTACAGAGGAGATATGAAGACTAGATATGAAGAAGAATTTTCTAGGCGTGTATGTCGGTAAAGGGCACTCCTTTAGATTATTTTTTTAGAGAGAGCGAGCGAGCAGGGGGGGAAGTAGAGGGGGACTTAGAGGGAGGGGGCAAGAATCTCAAGCAGACTGCATGCTGAGTGCAGAGCCCCACGTGGGGCTATAGACAGCTGAAAACCCTGCTCAGCTGGGTTAAACCTGAAATTAGTTGGATTTTCCTTCAAATCAAGATTATTTGTTAAAAGTTATTTTATATTATGTTCACTTAATTTTTCACTTGCAACACATTGCTTTATTTTTGTTTAGAAATACAGTTTAATACGATGGGCTGCCTACTTACCCCATTCCATCAACATAAGGAGAGCTTTGTAGACATAAGAAGGCCTCTGTCTTCAGAAAATCAAAGGCACTGTTTATGAATCTTTGTAAAGAATGTGAAATACCAACGTGTTATTTTTCAAGATAGGCTAAATTCTGTATAAAAACTTGATATGCTGGCAACAAGATGATCCTGGAAGAAGAAGTAAAGCAAAAACTCAGAATTCAGGGCTTAATTTTGAGAACCAATGCTTAACTTTTAAATCACTGTGTCTTTACTCAAACTAAATTTTTATCTTATCTTTTGATGTCACTTTGCTTATCAGATAGAGCAAGTAACAGTGGTATCATTGTTTTTCCATCTCTGACACACAGACTTGGACAAGTCACTTATCTTCCCTGAGCCCCAGTTTCCTCCTCTGCAAAAGGGGGATGTAAATTCCTGGTTTCTGAGCTCTAAAATGTTTTCAATGAAGCTAAAATTATCTACATAGTTATATACGTAGCACTCACATGCACTAGATATCCTTTGTGTACTTATATATGGTCCACCTATATGCAGTTCACAGGTAAGGAAGTTATTGTGTAGGCTGTGGGAAGTTGCCCAAATGTCCTTTTTTTAAACCTTTTTTTTTTTTTTAGATTTTTATTTGTTTATTTTAGAGAGAGAGAGAGAGCAGGGGGGGAAGTGGAGGGGTACGGAGAGGGAGCGGGCAAGAATCTCAAGCAGACTGCATGCTGAGTGCAGAGCCCCATGTGGGGCTTGATCTCACAACCCTGAGATCATGACCTGAGCCGAAATCAAGTCAGATGCTTAACCTACTGAGCCATGCAGGTGCCCCCCAAATGCCCTTTGGGGCCACTGTACTTACTCTCTCAATTACCAGAATGTTGGCTGCTGATGGCGCACAGCTGAGTCCCTTCCCGGGTGTTACCTTTTGCTCATAGAAGCTGCTTGCTCAAGGTTCTGCCCCCTCCATGGCAGCCCTCATCTAGTCATTGATTATCTTGATTGATTTAGGGACACAAAGGCCCAGCTGCCTTCCCTCAAATTGGGAACCATTCTAAAGGGCCATCTAAGCTCCAGCCCCCGCCAGTAGGATCTGCTGAGATCTTTGTTCTAGCTATATTGCAGTTTGAATTTTTTCTCTGCCCAGTCCCACTTCCCTCACCCCTGAGTACATTTGTTCCCAAGATCATTCCCCCAATAAACCTCCTGCACACCAGTCTCCATCTCAGAGTCTGCTTCCCAGGGAAACTAATCTATAACAATCTGCATTTCTAGAAAGGGATTTATCCCCCTTTGATTTGGCTGCCGTTTAAACAATGGTATATCTGATGTGTCATGAAACAAAACAAAGCTTGCTGATGAATCTAGAGTAGAACATACATTTTTAGCTTTATTAAGGAGTGTCCTAATAGATATGTTGATCTACCACCTGCCCAGCCATACATCTGTACATGATACAACCATGACATTTACGATAGTTCACATTTTGAAAATACTTTTTATTCCTTTATAAAAAATTTTTTAATCTTGAAGAGAAAGATAAGTGATTGAATTTGTTTTCTGCAGTTGAATACTTTAGAGTCTAATAATTGAAATGTTTGGATTAATAAGAATGTACTTTATATGAAATATATAAAATTTTGCAGCCTTGAGGATTCAGATCTAGTCAACTCGGTGAATATATTTCAAGTTTATTACCAAAAAAAAAAAAAAAAAAGAAAAAAGAGGTAACCCAACCCACTGTTTTCCATGGTTTCTATGGGCAATTAAGTTGTTAATTTGTATTGATACTCAGGATGTCAGGGTTGTATAAAGGGAAACATGTCCTCCATTATAGCTGATTGGTTTAATTACTATAAAAGCTTTGCTTTGGTGATATATATTCACTTATTTTAAAGTTTTTCTATTTTCTAAAATACTGTTTATTATTCTTGCACACAAAGCTTGTTTACTTTAGGGACCTTTCTATAACACTGGTGCTTTTTATTCAGTCTGGTGGATAGTGGACGTACCACATGCCCCTGAACTATGGTTCTGGTATGAGCTGTTAATTTGTTGTTCAATGTTCAGGTTGCCTGTGTATATTTCTTTTCCTGTTTAATTTCAAAGCTCTTTGTTACTCATATTTCTTTTCTCAGAAGAATTACCTTGTACATGCCCGCTATGTACCTCAGACAGAGGGAGCTGTGTCAGTACAACTGAAGGGATCCAACTCGCAAAAGAGCTGGGAGCTACCTATCTTGAACTACACAGCCTTGATGACTTCTACATAGGAAAATATTTTGGAGGAGTGGTAAGTGGTAATCCCTGTTACATAAAGTAATTTGTCAGGTTTGCTGTGTAGCTATTTTCTAGAACCTCAATTAGAACTTTAGTTTTAAAAATTGGTTTTAACTTTGAGAAACAAACTGAAAGTAGAATAAGGTTTTGTCAGAGTAAAATTATAATTTTATTTTTCTCTTCAAATGAAGCGTTTTCTATTGTCTAATAGGATATTTTGGAGTTTTCCATTTGGTGACACTGTTGTTTTTTATTAAACATATCAAAAGCATATTTACTTACACAAACCTGTGATGTAAGTTTTCTTCGTATCTTTAAATTGTTCAATGAGCCTTGCAGCCTGAGCCGTTGGGCCCTGAAAGTTCTCCTTCATTTCTATCTAGTATTCAAAAAGAAAGATTTTTCTTCCTCTGTGTGTGCTTTGGCAAGATTTTGTATACTCCTAAATGATTCAGCTCAAAAATATCCATAGAAACTGCTTATACAAATAGCTTGTTGGGGTGCCTGGATGGTGCAGTTGGTTAAGTATCAGACTCTTGATTTCTGCTCAGGTCATGATCTCAGGGTCATGAGATCGAGCCCTCAGAGTGCACGCCCACCGAGGCGTCTGCTTCTGTCCTCTCTCTCTCCCTCTGCCCCTTTCCCTGCTTGCGTTCACATGCTCTCTCTCTCTCTCAAATAAATAAATCTTTTAAAAAAAATACATTTGGGATTTGCTTGCTCTGTAGCTATGGCATTTATTGGGCACTATAGGCACTTTGAGACCCGTCTTGGCACATAGCCCCTACCCTACACTGTTAGGACTGCATGGTGCTTGGAGAATACCATGGAGTTGTATCATGTAAGTATGAACTGACTTTGGAACTATCGTTTCAACTCTCTAAGAAGTGACTCCACTCAACAGACAAATTTGGTAAACATGGATAAGAGGTTTAAACTAAAGTAAACCCTGCATTAAGCAGGAGCACTTTGAACTTCTCCATTAGTTCCTTGGCTCTTTGTCAAGTACTCTTTCTAATATACCAGTATATTCATTATGTGGATTCATGTCAAAATGTTGAGGTCTCCACAGATGACTGTAGAAAATTTCATTTGTTCTGGACAGTTACCAACCTCCAAAGAAGAACCAAAGATAAAATAAGCACCAAATATAAATGGTTCTGATTTCTATCATGTATAAGTGGCTATTATTTGCCCACTAATGTGAAGAAACATTAATAATATAGCATTAAGAAAGATATACTCACAAGACTGATATCATAATGACTTGAGAAACTTTTGTCTTTTTTTTTTTTTACAGTGATAAATAAAAAATAGAAAGGGTAGGAAGGTAGAGAGGACTGAAATCTAATTTTCCTGTCAAAGATACTGTATTGTAGTGGATTAAAAAAAATCTTAATTTAGTCTAAGAATTTTGCATTTCCCTGAAATATTTAGGGAACTGGGGAAAAATGATAGTTTGGTTTCATTTGTTGGAGAGGAAGGGGCTGATTCTCTTGGGGTATGGAACTCTCCTTTTTCCCTGCTCCACTTCCTGAACCTGAAATCTCAGGGTCACTCTTCCGAACGACCTGCCAACTCCCACTTTTATCTGCTCACTTCTGCTTCCTCCTCCTTGTTTCTCTTTGTTCCTAACACCTGGTGTTGCAGTTACGGTTGGACGCATGATAAGGATTGAAGATGTGGTCAAGGTTGGAAGAAAGAAATGGCAGTTTATTTTTTCCTTAAGACTTGGTAAGAATATGGAAATAAGATCAGAATGATCCCTTTCGAGATTATTGAATAGTAAAGTACAGCTTTGATCGTGAGTGTAAGAAATAGTGGCATTTGCAGGAATATAGATGGAGATGATAATGTCAGAGTGAAAGGAGCATTTAAAATCTTGTGTTTAAGGGTCAAGGATGAAGACCTGGGCAAGAGGGGTGTGTGCCCTGTAGCTTTAGAGAGCCCCATCTGGCCCTCCTCCAGTTGCACCCCCATGGCACAAGTTGAGGGAGCCAAGGGGGTATGCCCACCTGGAGCTAGAAGCTCTTCTAGACCTGCACCATCCATTATGGTACTCTATTCAATAGCACAGATACTATAGAGCATTTCCATCAACACAGAACAGAGGGTTCTATTGTACAGTGCTCCAACTATGTTCCAAAACCCAGGACCCCAGAATTCTCTGACCGGTGGCACTCAGTCTGTTTCTCAGGCTTGTGCAGGCCTTTTTCCTGTGTCAGTCCTCCTGAAGTGGATTGCATTACTAGTGTGTGTGTCCCTAGGTTTGAAAGGTGGCCAAAGGATAACTACATATGAGGAATGGGGGAGGGGAGAGTAGAGTTTGGACATGTAGGCATGAATGTCTACTTATACGTATAAAGCTCCTTGAGGCATGGGATGGAGCAGGGCATGAGAAGAGAAGGAGCAGTCTTGGGGCCTGGGAGTTAGGGGCCAGTTCTCCCTGTGCTACACGAAACTCTGAGAAGTCTGAGAATTTAAATCCAAACCTGGCTGTCAAAGCAAGAGGATAGAATATCTTTTACATAATAGTTTGTTTTCTTGATTTACTCAGTTTAAATATTTGTGTATGTGGTACATGGACCTCTCTCTGTTCTTTTGCCCCAAGCCTCACAGTGTAAGGCATAGGTCTGGTGCTGTGCAAGTGCGTGTGGTTAGGATTTTTTTTTTTTTTAATTTAATTTTTTTTTAAAGATTTTATTTATTTACTTGAGAGAGAGAGATAGCAAAAGAGAGCACGGGGGGCAGGGAGAGGGAGAATCAGGCTCCCCCTTAAGCAGGGAGCCCAATGCAGGACTTGATCCCAGGACCCTGAGATCATGACCTGAGCTGAAGGCAGATGCTTAACCCACTGAGCCACCCAGGTGCCCCTCACCTTTTAAAATAATCTTTACACCTAACATGGGGCTCGAACTTACAACCCCAAGATCAAGCGTTGCATGCTCTACTGACTGAGCCAGCCAGGCACCCCAAGATTTTTAATTTATAACATAAAGGATGTATTTCAATGTAATTTATTCAAGCAAAAAATAAAGCACGTGTAAATATCCCTAGTTGATATGAGCATCTGTGACATAGAGCCAGATCTGTCCTGCCTTGAGTTTTTCTGGTATTAACTGCTGTGGTTGCCCACAAGATGGTTATTGACAGTCACACAGTCGTACTGCTGGGCTTTCTTGATTATTCAAGAGAATAAACAGTTCCTTCTTGAATGGGTAGTTTATTTATGCTTAGACAAGGCACAGTCTGTTCTACTTGATACATTTTGTTTTAATAAAAAATTGTTTAAAGTGTTTGCTAAAGCTTACATGGAGATGGTACTGGCATTAAAAACATTTGGCAAATGTGATTTGGGGTACCAATAATCATGTCAGATACATAATTTTGTTGAAGCTTTAATCAAAATTCTATTCATGTTTTAGTTGGAGTATTTTATGATTCAAGCCTTAAATCAGAAGACAAGTGAAAAAATGAAGAAAAGGAAAATGAGCAACTCATTTCATGGAATTAGACCACCTCAGCTTGAACAACCAGGTGCATTTATTAACCAATGTTTCTACATTCAATTGATATTTATTATAGATCACTTCACAAGTCGTGGAGCAATTGTTCCCAAATTTGAGTATGTTGAGGGACTCACCTGGCATTCTTTTTCAGTAAATCTGGGATGGGGTGTAGAGTCTGCTTTTAAAATAAGTTTCCAGGTGATTCTGAAGCAGATGGTATTTGGACCGACTTTGAGGAATTCTGTCTTAAACTTGAGTCTATAGCTTCTTTAAAAAATAGTGTGTGTGGTGAAGAGCTATCGTAGATTAAAGTCTAAGAAATAACAACCAAATGCAATACATGAACCTTGATTGGATTCCGGTTCAATAAAAACATCTCAAAGACTTAGGGCAGTTGGGTAAAATTTTAATATGGACTGGAAATTAGATGACATGAAGGGATTGTTAATTTTTGTATGTATGGTAATGGTTCTGTGATTAATGGAAGAATGTCCTTATTCTTTGGAAATGAATATGACGTTATTTAGAGCTGAAGTATCTTGATGATTTCAAGTTACTTTTAAGTGGTTCAGCAGTATGAGTGTGTGTGTAAGTGTATCTTGCTAGAGATAAGGCAAACATGACACAATGTTAATTGCAGAATGCAGGTGAAGGATATGTGTGTGCTTATTGTATCATTCTTTCAACTTTTTCAAATGTTTGAAAATGTTCATAACACAAGGTTAGAGGAAAATAAAGATACATAAATACAATTTTATCAAAATTAACTTTTATCAACAATTTTGAATAATTATATCATAGAAATGAATAGTAGTACACTATGCAGACCAATTTGTTATGGAAATTGTTGTAAAATGTAGGTACTTGGTAAGTACTTGTTAAATAAATCAACATACATTAAAAATTCGGAAAACATAAATTAGTATGGGAAGTCAATTCCAGGTATTTTTTTTTTTTTAAATGCAGATAGATCCTAAGTGATACACAGTTTGGCTTTGAACTTCCTGGTGTGCAAAGTAAGCGGGGAGATGTGGTCTGTTATGGAGCAAACCTGCTGCTTTAAATGCTTTCTGGATGAGAAGATGGGTGGGGAATAGCCAAATAAACAGTGGAGATAGATAATTTCTTGGTTCTTATTAATTCAAGAAGAGAAAACACCACAGTTCCTCTGAGAAAGCAAAGCCATTCATGGATTTAGCAGAAGGAGAAATTTCTCACGTGGGTCTCCGCCTGGGGTGCTCAGTGACCTAGCAGACGGGGCTTTCCGAAGGGTCCGGTCGACAAATGCAGTCTCCGTTCTCACAGGTGGAACTTGGTGCCCTTCTGTGAGGTGTCACACTGAACATTGGTTCTGGTGCTCATTTGTTCTAAGGGTAGATCCTGGGCTCCAGGGCATGTGGCTTTTACACTGTTCGTAAATCATTCAGGGTCTTTGAGGTGCCTTAGGCAGTGGAGGGAAGGATGGGGTGTAGTTCGGAAAAAGCCTAGCCACCAAAGTTCCTTGTTATTATCGGTTTTAGAGACTGGAGTTTTGCTTTAGAGTAAAGAATTTTCATTCCTAAAGAAGTTTGAATTCTACTGATTTAGAGGATTGTGTAGCTTTCAAGCAACCCTTTACAGATAACACTTTCCTTGGCTCAGCTTGGGATGAATCTAGCCAGCAGATATTTTACAGTTAGGGTCTATGATGAGGGCCTAGAGTGTGATCCTCTGTGGGGATATTCTGAATCGACTGAGGGCTAATTTACCTTTGTTAGTGATCAAACTAGGAAATTGAAGGTTACATCGTTTTTTTGGAAATTAAGGACTCTAGAGAGAGAGATTTTATTTGGGGACACACAAATAGTGAGAAGTACTATTTTATTGCTGTTAATAGCATTAGTACCATTTTCTTTTGCACTGTAAAAAATACTGTGTATTTCTGTGACTGTTATCTCAGGATAATTAATTTATGTGTTTATGATTAGATTAAGTTACACACAATTGCTGTTTTCGTAGGGTCACAAATGGCCAAATGTTGGCAATTTCATGTGGCTCAACTTAATAATATTAAGAAAATATTCTTTTGTTGTGTTTAAAAGAAACCGGAAATGATTGGGTCTATAGACCTAAAGAAAAATTTGTCACTTTTATTTTCTTCTTTGAAACAGAAAAAATGCCTGTCTTAAAGGCTGAAGCATCGCATTATAACTCTGATTTGAATAATTTGTTGTTCTGCTGCCAGTGTGTGGATGTGGTATTTTACAACCCAGATTTGAAGGAAGTTGCCGAGGCCCACAAGATTGTCCTGTGTGCCGTAAGCCACGTTTTCATGCTACTTTTCAATGTGAAGAGTCCCGCTGACATTCAGGATTCCAGTATCATCCGAACTACCCAAGACCTCTTCACTATCAGCAGAGACACTGCATTTCCCGGTGCTCGCCAGGATACTCCAGGCAACCCGCCCTTACGCGTCGTCGTCAAAGATGCCCTCTTCTGCTCTTGTTTGCCGGACATTCTGCGCTTCATTTATTCAGGTATCTTGTTAAATGGTTCTGGTACATTCTCTTAATTAAGCTTTTGAAAGGAACTACGCCTGTGGTCCTCAGGTGTATTGTCTAGCTCCATGTTTATTTTCTTTCTACCATCCGAGGTAAGGATTATACATGAAATAGTCTTTACTTTATATACAGGAATTGGTCCAAGCTTTCCATCTTACTTATAAGTCTACTTGCCTTGGTTTTAAATCTACTTGTGAAAATAGTAATTTCTTTTCCTACTGAGCAGATGTTAGTCAGTATTTTATTTAAACAAAAATAACCAAAATGTGAAAATATGAGCATTTGTCCAGTCTAACTCTAAAGAAACAAAATTTTCAAAGTGTGAATGAAAATAAGTATCTGCATCTTTTCTTAAAAGATTATTTATTTGAGAGGAAGAGAGTGAGAGAGAGCATGAGCACATGCTAGAGAGAACGTGAGCAGTGGGAGGGGCAGAGGGAGAGAGGAAGCCCACTGCCAGATGAGTGGGGAGCGCAATGTGGGGCTCGGTCTCAGGACCCTGAGATCATGACCCAGAGATCATGACCTGAGCCGAAACCAAGAGTCAGATGCTTATCCGACTGAGCCACCCAGGTGTCCCAGTATCTGCATCTTAAAAGATGGCCATTTATTCACTTTTGTTTTACTCTTAGATTTTGGAGGGAATTAAGAGAAATTAGCAGGGTCCTTGAATTCAGTTTAGGAACTGGAAAGAGTATCTGAAGTTAGTTTAGACTGAGATCTGATCAACTTTGTTTAATTAATTAATTTTTTTAAGATTTTGTTTTTAAGTAATCTCTACACTCAGTGTGGGGCTTGAACCCACAACCCCAAGATCAAGAGTCACACACTCCAGTAACTGAGTCAGCCAGGTACCCTGACTTTGACTATTTTAGATTTTACTTTTTTTTTCTTACTGTGCACTTATCTTTTTAAGATAGAGCTTATCGGGTGCCTGGGTGATTCAGTTGGTTAAGCATCTGCGTTCGGCTCAGGTCATGATCCCAGAGTCCTGGGATCGAACCCCGCATTGGGCTCCTTGCTCAACAAGAAGCCTGCTTCTCCCTCTCCCTCTGCCCCTGCTTGTGTTCCCTCTCTCTCTCACTCACTCTCTCTCTGAAATAAAGTCTTTTTAAAAAAAGAGCTTATCAATTATTTTTTTCTTGTCCTTTTAAATGATTGTAGCTACTATATTTTAAAAAATAGAAGTTTTATCTGAGTCACTTTAGCTAATGCATTGAGGGTGTCAAATCTAAGTGTCCCATATAAAAATGGAAAAGAATTGACATAAAATGATTTTTAAAGTAAGCATCTAAGTAAAAATTTTCTGAGAACTTCTCTCTTCTTTAATTTTTCACTTGGAATCATGTTCTGATGAAATATTAAGTTAAGGTCACTCCTCTGGAATGTGGCTGTGCAGAAACATTTATAATCTGTTTTTAGACTTCAAAATGAGGGACAGATAAGTTTATAAAGGTTTGCAAATAAATAAAGTGCTGTTTCATGTTTGTAAGAAACCTTTGGGTAGTCTTCAGTTGAAATAATTGATGTTAATATCAGATTTTACTTTTTTCATTTGGGATGTGGTTATATAATTTTACTCTAAGTTAAAATAAAAATTAATGGTTTTGAAAAGTGCAGTTGCAGTATGAAGATTTGAGTGCATTAAAATGTATATATATGGGCCACCTGGCTGACTCAGTCAGTAGAGCATGTGCCTCTTGCTCTCAGGGTCATGAATTCAAGCCCCACTTTGGGTGTAGAAATTACTTTAAAAAAATTTTAAAAAATCTCTATATATGTACATACATATACCTACATAGGAGTAGAATGATAGTGGTGGGTCTTAAACCCATTATTCAGTGAATATTGGCTTGGAAAAGGCATGAATAACCACTCCTACAGAGCACACCAACACAGTGCCTTCAACATGGCAGGTTTTGTGTCGGTTGAATTAATGAGTAGACTCTAGTAGCTGTGAATCATCATATGAATAAAGCAGGTTAGTTAAACACTTCATATACTAATAGATTTTCATGTTTAAACTTTGAGTCTCACAGTTTAGAATTTAAGGCTAATTCTGAAAAACAAGAATGTTTACATGTTAAATGAAAAAAAGTCTTTAATGATGTTTAGAGAACTGTGAAGGAAGTATTTGGCTTTTCTTTTCGGAGATGTTACTGTTGAAATTGAATTGTTCAGCAAGTTTACCACAATATCTATTGAATATTTTCGAAGGCACATGAGCACTTTGAAGTCAGTTACATCCTCTTGAATAAGGTAGCAATAAAAGAACTAGTTGTATCTCCAGTGACAGAACCTACTTGTCTTTCGTGTAGGGAATGATTTTTTTAAATTGCAAAATTAATACATGCAGATGGAAGCAAAGGGGAAAGAAAAGAATGTTCTTTCCTTAGCCCCCTTATGTGTTGACTCTAATGCTATTTGAAAGAAGTTAATTTATTGGGAAACATACATTAAGGAAAATGTATCTGTAGTAAGTGCTGGTTTCCCCCCGCTGGAGTACAGAGTGGGAGGTGAAGGCTTGCAGGAGATGAGGCTGGCAAGCCAGATGGAAGCTGTTCATCAAAGCTGTTCTAGAATGTTAAGCATGATCAGACTGGGCTTTGGCATGCTCATCTCTGGTGATAGTGGGGAGATGGAATGAATAGAGCAGGCAAGACAGGAGTTTAATAAGGAAGCTCCGTTACTCTGGAGATCAACCTCAGGAAGACCATTATTCTGACAACAGGTGGTTGCTGCTACAGCTTGTCCATCATTTGGACCAGGGCTTTTCAAACTTAATGTGCATGCGAGTCAACTGGGGATCTTGTTCATGTGCAGATTTTTTTTTTAAGATTTTATTTATTTATTTATTTATTTAAGATTTTATTTATTTGAGAGAGAGAGAGAATGAGAGATAGAAAGCACGAGAGGGAAGAGGGTGAGAGGGAGAAGCAGACTCCCTGCTGAGCAGGAAGCCCGATGTGGGACTCGATCCCGGGACTCCAGGATCATGACCTGAGCCGAAGGCAGTCGCTTAACCAACTGAGCCACCCAGGCACCCAAGATTTTATTTATTTATTTGAGAGAGAGAGAGGGAGGGAGAAGGAGCATGAGCAGGGGGAGGGACAGGGGGAGAAGCAGGCTCCCCGCTGAGCAGGGAGCCTAATGTGGGGCTCCATCCCAGGCCCCTGGGGTCATGACCTGAGCTGAAGGCAAACGCTTGACTGAGCCACCCAGGTGCCCGTCATCTGCAGATTCTGATTCAGTAGGCCCCGGGGGGTTGAGGCGTGAGATTCTGCATTTCACGCAGTCTCCCAGGTAATGCTGATGCTCTGGACTACACGCATCACCTGCTCTGGGAATAACCACGTACTGGCCACGGACAGGGGGATAAGAGCCTGGCATTCAGTCCAGAGGCCCAGGGGAGGGACCTGGCCTATCAGTCTCAGGGCACAGAGTCAAAATGGGGTCAGCTGCAAGTCTTACTGCTGTGAGCTGTTCGGAGCTGGAGTTGTTGCTGCCCTGTGGTAGCCGCTGCCGGAGGGTTGGGCAAGTGGCTGCTTTGTGAGCCCGGGAAGAGCAGTTAGAGGCAGAGGAACATCATAGCATGGAGAGCTTGCTACAAGCCCTTGAGTGGTTCAGAGCACAGGCTTCCTAACCTGACACTGAGCTGTTGCATTTCTGCTCTGTTCATTCTCTCCTTGTATGTCAAGACCCAGAGAAGAGGTGGTGTCAGGGAAGAGCTGGGCCACAGGCCATTGACCTGGGGCTGCAGGGAGACCCCAGTGCTTTGAGGAAAAGGGAAAATAAATGCTTTAGCAGGTACCTATTACTTATTCTGTATTTATAGAGTATAACCTCAGACTCAAACAAAAGTTACATTGTGTTTATTCTTTTTTTTTTTTTAAGGTTTCTATTTATTTATTTGTTATAGAGAGAGACACAGGAGAGCAGGAACACAAGCAGGGGGAGTGGGAGAGGGAGAAGCAGGCTCCCCGCTGAGCCGGGAGCCCAATACGGGGCTCGATCCCAGGACCTTGGGATCATGACCTGAGCCGGAGGCAGACGCTTAACGACTGAGCCACCCAGGCGCCCCACATTGTGTTTAAATTATGTTTAAAAAGATATTAAAGCTGTACTTGTACAGTAAAGACAATTGTGAAAAAATGGAGAAAATTTGTTGAGGAGAAAATCAATCCAATTCCTACTCTTAGATGTCAAAACACTTACTGATGTTTTGTTTTATCCTCTAGTCTTTGTGCATAGGTTACCATTTATTTAGAAAATATTTTTTTATCACGGATATCTGGATGGCTCTCTCAGTTAAGCATCGACCTTTGGTTCAGGTCATGTCTGGGGTCCTGGGATGGAGCCCCATGTCGGGCTCCCTGCTCAGCAGGGAGTCTGCTTCTTCCTCCCTCTCTACCTCTCACCCTTGCTTATGCTGTCTCTCTCAATAAATAAAAAAAGAAAATATTTTTTAACAAATTAAAGTTTTAAATATATATATATATATTTAGAGACTTCAGTAAAGACGACAGTCTTAAGGGATTTTTGTTTTGCTTTTTTTCTTCCTGCTGTTGTTGAGCGTTTTAAAACTTTTGAACTGAGCATAAGTTTTAAGACTCAGTTACGCAGTGGTTTCTTCACAGAAGCCCCGGCCTACCCACAGGTTATGTTAGGTGGGCAGTGAAGACAGGAGCTGTTTGTACTCGTGTCTGTTGGGTCAGTAACACAGAGGTAGAACTCCATGACACAGCATGCTCAGGAATATTTGCCCTGAGCAAACATGGACTGAAAAACCATCTTCAGTCTATCTCCTACTTTTTTTTTTAAACCAAATTTCAAAGAATGTCTTAATTTCCTCTAAATAACATGCTTCTTTTTAATCTTTAGGAATTTGAAATTTTGTATATATGTGTCACCATGGATGTTTAGGTCCTATATTTAGGAAGGGTCTGTTTAATGGTCTGGTTAACGTAAGGTTTCAGAGTATTCTCCTATGAAAATTCCTAAATAAATAGACACGGTAAAAGTATGTGTTTTGTGTATGTTAATTTTCTATTGGGTAACAGCTAACACTGTATAGTGTATAAGTACTGAAAGACTATTCCTCAAAGAAAGAGCGAGGCCAGTAGTTTGTGGGTCTTCATCGAGTCATCCTTTATTGGCATATAGTTGTGACATTCTTATAATACTTGATAGTCTTTATGCTTGCAAATTCCTGATGCACCCAATTTCAGATGGCCAGGAATTGAAATGTATGTCAGAGCCTCAAGAATTTTGCTTTGAGCTTTTCATACGACAGTTGGCCCTTAGAATTTCACATCCCTTATTGAAATGCCGCCATAGTAAACGAACATGTGGAAAGGAGCTTTCATCTTCAGCTTGCCTAGTATCTTCCAGCTCTTGGAATTATTCTGTGGTATGCTCTTTCCTGCACTACCTAAAAGTGCAGCTTGTATGTATGAGTATAACATGCTCCCTAAGAACCTCAGTCAATTCAATCAGTGCTCTGAGAAGTTAACTAAATAGAAAATCCCAGTCAGTTATGCAAGATGAGTAAGTTCTAGAGACCTGCTGTACAATATCATGGCTATTGTTAACAACACTGTAATGTACACCTAAAATTCTGTGAAAAAGATAGATCACATGTTAGATGTTCTTTTTTTTTTTAAGGTTTATTTTAGAGGGAGAGAGAGAGAATCCTCAAGCAGACTCCCTGCTGAGCACAGAGCCTGACAGGGGCTCGATTCCAAGTCCCCGAGATCATGACCTGAGCCGAAAGCAAGGGTTGGACACTTAGTCGACTGAGCCACCCAGGCGCCCCACATGCTAAATGTTTTTACCACAATTAAAAAAAGGAAAAGAAAATCCCAGTATAAGGATTATTATTTTATTTGGACCAAAACATGTCAAAGATGACTTGGCATGCATTTCTAATTATAAGAACAGCCCAATCCTTAGAGTGCCCTATGAACTGGTCTTTCATCTTTAGTTATTGGATCCTTTTGTGTCTATTCTGAGACAAATGAGTGGCCTGTAGGCATTTACCTGCTGTTAATCCCATGTATTTCAACTTAATTCTTGCTTTCTCAGATAATATTCTGAATGGAGATACTGTGTAGGTATTCGTTAATACAATTTATTTTTAAGAGCTAATATCTGTTCTCCTTTAACATGTGTGAGTGTAGACAATGAAAAAATACCTGTTGGCTGCATACCACTGATCCTGGGTTTTGATCATGGGTGAAGTGTCTGAAGGAAGAGCAGTGATGATCAGCACTCAGTGCACCTTAAAATCCCCTGGGAGGCTTTTAAAATGATGTCTGGGCTCCAGCCCCAGAAATCCTAATTTAATTGGTCTGGGACTGATACCTCCTTGATGGTGTTTTATGAAGGATCTCCAGGTAAATGTACTGCACAGCTATAGTTGAGAATCACTGGCAAAAATTCTTTTAATGTGGGTTCTGTTGGTTTCTCAGTGGTTCTTTTACTTATGACATTTTAATGTAGACCATAATGTCTCTGTGTGTATAGGAAATTTTCTGGAGAGACAATGCAAAGAAAATATCAGATAGTGAAAAGAGTATGTGCCTTTAAAGTTAAAAATCCTTAGTGCCAAAAAATGAAAACAAAAAACCCAGGTGTTTCTTGACTGCAAACCTTTGGGAATTTGAGAAGGGAGGAGAGCTGACAGTGAAGTCATAGGAAGAAACAGTGGTGCTGCTGGAGCTGGTTGGCACCAGCTTATAAGAGCCTATTGGGTTTCTCTCTTCCCAGCTCTGTGCTCTGTGGTGTCGTGTTGGTGGCTTGAATGTGGCCATGGTGCGAGTATTTGCACCACAGAGGTAGCAAATGGCCCAGATCAGGGCTCTCCCTCCCCAGCCCCCTCTCCTCAGGATACACTGTAGCAATCATGAAGGTTAGGTGAGGGGAAGTTTAAAGATACTCTATAGAGCGCCCAGTGCTACAGGGCTCAACTATAATGGCGCCTGAGAGCCTCTGGGCTATCACTTGACTCTTCAGAGTAGCTTTGGATCTGGTTGGCTCAGCCTGGCTGCAATTGCCTGATCTCATTGGTTCAGTAATGTTTGTTATGTGCTCTCCCCATCCCTGATGTCCATGAAGGCATCTGGCAAAGTTCTGGATACAGAAAGGGGAAGATCAGAAGAAAGAGATAGATCGAAAAGGATTTTGAGTTATGCAGAGGTGAGAGGACTTGCTTCAAGTCACACCAGTAATTAATGGCAGAGGTAGAACTAGAGCCTGGGTCTCCCAATTATACCCGCCCACACTACACCTTGGTTAATTATATTTTTAGGCTTTAGGACTTTCTGTAAGCCATGGGATAGGTAGGGGTCATCTCTTCAAATATCATCATCAGAATTGTACTTTTGGAAACGTATCAGCACTGAGGATCGGGATTGAGTCAATGAGGAGAAGGCCACTGGGGAGCAGGTAGGCTATACGGGAAGCTGTGGTAAGCCAAGCGAGAGAAGGGCTTGGAGAAAGGAGAACTTTTGCTGACCATCAAACAGTTTTGTAAGACACAGAGGAAAGGTGGGGCGCCTGGGTGGCTCAGTCGTTAAGCGTCTGCCTTCGGCTCAGGTCATGATCCCAGGGTCCTGGGATCGAGTCCCACATCGGGCTCCCTGCTCCACGGGAAGCCTGCTTCTCCCTCTCCCACTCCCCCTGCTTGTCTTTCCTCTCTTGCTGTCTCTCTCTCTGTCAAATAAATAAGTAAAATCTTAAAAAAAAAAAAAAAGACACAATGGAAAGGGGCTGACAGTGTAGACAGACGTGAAATGAGCCTGGGAAGAGATAGCTTGGAAGTGGGGTGGGGTGAGGACAAAGGGAGGGAGGGACCAGGTGCAGTGATTTTGCTCCAGTGCAGTGGTCAGATAGCTCATCAGGACAGTATCTACCTCCCTTCTTCAGGTTGGGTCTGTAGAGATGGCTATTGAACATCCTTCTCTGACCCTGATCATGCGTGAGACTTTCTGAATGCATTCTGTTCCTACTGCTCATTCTTCTACCTGATGGTAGTCACTGCCCTCCAGGATTAGTATGATTTAAGTCAATTAGGAAAAAAAAAACCATATCTGCCTTCTTAGCCCAGGCAAGTAAGTAATTTGAGTGTAGGAAGGACTACTTGTGATGGCAACTAATATTCTGGCCGTTGCTGTCATTTTTAGGTGACCATCTATTATAAAGAGTTGACAGCTGTCTAGGGAGGCAGATTTCAGGTTTTCAGAAATACATTAGGGGAAGGCAAACTGAGTTTTTAAAAATGTGAGAACTGTTTAAATGTTTTAGTGTAATTACAAGGATATATATTTGGTAAAGAAAAAAGAAAATACTGAAAGTGCTATCTAATGAGAGATTTACTTTTGTACTTCCTGTTTTAACATAAAAATCTAACATATATTAATTTGTCTACAGGTGCTTTTCAATGGGAAGAATTGGAAGAAGACATCAGGAAGAAAGTGAAAGATTCTGGGGATGTTTCAAGTGTAATTGAGAAAGTTAAATGTATTTTGAAAACACCAGGAAAGGTAAATTACTTTATTGAAAATCAGTTTATTTTGATGTTCCCTGAACTTTAACATATATACGATGATAAATGAATAATATTGAGTCATGAGAAGAGTCAACAGTGTAGAAATATGTTTTCCTTGAGTCTATTTTTGCCATTTGAATATTTTAAACACAAACGTATTTCTTACTATCTCAGATTTTAATTCATGTAAGAATTAAAATATGTGTGAGTCATGTCTTTAAAATGTTGATTTGTGAATTCCATCTTCTGAAACATTCCCCTAGATAGCTCCAAGAATATGCAGTCTATGTCAAGAATGAAGGGCTGTTGAATCTATCCAGTTCCAGTTAAGCTTGTTAAAGGGGATGCTTTCTCACTTCTCCAAATTTAAGTCCAAGTAGTTTTCAAGAGCAAGGCAGTTTCTCTGTGTGCCTTTTTCAAGAGTTCTGAGAAATCTGTTTGATCAGCTAGACAGTTAAGGATTTATTTCTCATCTCGTATAGGTTTAAAATTATAAACCAGGTCAAAAATAAAATAAAATAAAATAAAATCATAAACCAGGTCAAAGGTTATAAAATACAGACTTTGTATACAGTCCTAAATGTGTGCATGTTAAAACTCCAGTCCCTTAGACTGTCCAGTCTGTAAGGGCTTTAAAAAATAAATTTGCTGGGAGCCTGGGTGGCTCAGTTGGTTAAGTGACTGCCTTCGGCTCAGGTCATGATCCTGGAGTTCCAGGACCGAGTCCCACATCGGGCTCCCTGCTCAGCAGGGAGGCTGTTTCTCCCTCTGATCCTCTCCCCCCCCCCCGCTCTCTCTCTCTCTCATTCTCTCTCTCAAATAAATAAAATCTTTAAAAAAAAATAAAAATAAAAATAAATTTATTCATTTTAGAGACAACTACATTATACACTTGAGCCAGTGTATTCTTATTTCAGATTATGTGCTAAACAAATTGGCTACAGTAGGTAAAAAGGTAAGCTATGTGCAGTGCTCAGGAGAATATAGACTTATGTTAAATGTAAGAGAAATGATCATTCCTTGAGTTTTTTTTATACAGATGACTTAGTCAATTCTACAACCTGAGTTAATGACATTTTAAGTTAATATTTTAAAACGGTACTAGCTTTTAATGAAGATTCCTGACTTATTTAAGAAAAAAAAACTGAACAAAGTAACATGGAATTGAGAGCAAGCCTTTTCTTATTTCAGTCTAACACGGAAGCAGGTATGCAGAAGCTGTGCAGTTTTCCAGGGCATGGCAGATTGGTAGCTCTCTTGCCATCTAATTCAACTAAATAATGCTTTTGTAGAACTGTGTGCATAAACCTGCATTCTGTTTTTCGAAAGTTCTCTAGATTACTTGTTTATAGACTGGTGAAAATGTGCACCATGTATATCAGTGTTCTGTCCAAGCTGCTATATTCCTATCTTTTTGACCTTCACATTCAAGGCATGGGTGACAAAGGAATCTGTTGACACAGATTCATGATCGATCGATCGATCTATCCATACATGACCTACATCTACATAGTATTCATGACATAAAAATTCATAACCTTTATATGAATGGGGAAGACAGAAGTGTTGCCTCTTGTTCTAAACCTGAGCCTTTCCTTGAGTGTGATTTTAAGCAGTCATTCCTTTGAGTACTGAGAAAAAATGAATTCTTTTTGGGGAAGAGGATTGGGGCTGGACAATTCCATGATATTGAACTAAATTCCCTTCTTTGTACAGGAGGAGAGATGAGTTCTGTGCTTTCTTCCTGTGCTTTTCTGGGGTAAAGGTCTCTCTCATTCACTGAGTACAACACAGAGCTATAACCCTGAGTTAGGAATCAGGAAATGTACATTCAGATTGTGAGTTGGCATGAATTATTTCTGGCTTTGGGCAAGTCTTCTCAGGACTTTCTGTAAGAAGAGGAATAGATGATGATTTCTAAAGCCCTTGCTGATTCTCAAATTCTGTGCTGCTTTTTGACTTGCTCTGCTTTGTGTGTGGCATTCACCTGAATCCTCTCTACCAGTTCCTTTGATGTGTATTAAAGTAGGTAGGTTGTGTACAGGATCTGAGAACATGCTTTATAGGAGCAGGATTTGTATGATCCTGTTTTGTTTCTCTGCCTTGCTCATGGAAATCATTCTGGAGTGTGTTTTCTTCCTCCTTTTGAGGAAGGATAATAGTTTGTTTTCCTCTTACCAAAGATGTTAGTTTCCCACCAGAGTGGATTAATCCAGAGTGGAGAGTAGGTGCCATTTATTCTTACTGCTGCAGTTGTATGCTTGATTATTTCTTAGGGATGAAGCTTTCCATATTCCCTGGATAGCCAAGCAGAGGTCAGAGTTCTGACCCAGGCAGAGGTCCTGAGATTCAGCTAGGGAAATGGTGGGAGGGGGAGGGAAGAGGGGCTGGCTCTTGAATTCTGGGGTTGGAACAAAGGAATGTCTGAAAGATTACAGGAAGGATAAACAAAGCACCAAAGCCTAAGTGGGGTGTAGTGGGGGGCTGGAGACTGCTGAGTCAGGTAGAGGCACTATTATGGGGGGCCACCACCTAGAGTGAGCCTGTGTGCGAGCACAGATAGGTGTAGTCATGGAATTGGTTCTCTGGAACTCCGGAGCAGAGATCCAGGCAACCTTTGAGAGATTCCAGGAATCCCAGCTGTGGGTAGGATTATAAGACTGTACATTAAGACAGAGATGAATCAGTTAATTACTTTCACGTATTTTAATGTTGATCTAGTAAGTAGTAGGACATGATATGATGGGGGAAAATATATGTTTTTTAAAATGACAAATTTTTGTGTGTGTACCTCTTTAGTTAGGGAAAGCAAACAGGTTTTTTATGTGAACATATTTTATCAGGCATTCATATGAGGTTGAGCATTGTCTAAAGGGGATGTGGGTGGATTCAGGGCCCCACGTTTCTCAGCCAGAGAGCTGTGTTTTCCCATAGCCAGTTCGCTCACTGCTCAGAATGTTACACAGAGCCGTGCTGCTCCCTCTTAGGGAGAGCATGTCATTCTTGAGAGCAAGTTCCCATGACAGCTAGGAGCACAAGTGCCATGGAGGAGGGAATCGTTATTTCTTCAGACATTTAGTGCAGTTCTCCAAATTCTCTAACCAACCTATATATTTATTAACAGAGCATATTGTACAACATTTCCACTTGTATTTTTGTTTTCCCTTATAGATTAATTGTCTAAGGAATTGCAAAACTTATCAAGCCAGAAAACCTCTGTGGTTTTATAACACTTCCCTCAAGTTTTTCCTTAATAAACCAATGCTTGCTGACGTTGTCTTCGAAATACAAGGTAGGGTTCAATTTTTACAAAGTTCAGTACTTGTTTTTATTTCTTATTTTCTTACCTAACTTTCTATTTCAACCTTGAATATTTTGGGTGAAGAAATGACTATTCTCAATGCAGGCTATAGATTAATACTGGCTGAATTTCAGCAAAATCTAGGGAAATGAAGTATTTTGTTAAAACAAGGAAAGAAATTTATGTTTTCCTAGGTTTTTTCCCCCCTTACCATAGGCTTCATTAGTTTTTAGGAACCAGCGTGGAATGGAATGCTCTGTAATATCACCTCATTGTATATTTTTGTCCCTGTATTTCTTTGAGATACTAGTTGTTGAATCATCTGAAACCAGCCCCCTTCACATTATATTACCTGTAATTTATCCAGTTCTCTTCCTTTCTCTTTGAGCAAAGGAACTAAGCAAGCATTGAGGGTCATGCCTGCCTCACATTAGGCCTGGGTAGGTATTGCTACATTTATTTCTCACGGCACTTTGAGAATTATCACCAGAGCAATTGAGAGCTGCTTTTTATCTCTGTAGGAAAGTAATGCTACCTAATTTTAATAATGATAAGTTGTTTTAATGCCCATTATTGATTATCCGCTTGGGTAATTTTGCCACTTCAGTAGATTAAAAGCATAATCTTGCAAGTGAATTGTCAGGTACCTTCAATTCTGCAGGAAGGTTAGGAGTTGTTTCCACATGCATTAAGTAGAACTTCAAGTAGACTATTACTAGAAGAAAGAATTATAATTTTATGGTAGAAATGTATGGCAGCTAACAGTCATTTGCTTTTTAAATTTTTTCCTCAAAAAGATTCATTTTAATTTTGGCCACTTGCCAAGACAGTGTATTGGAAACTTCCCAAGTGCCCTCTGATAAGCTCCAATCAGCACTGTTTGAAATGTGCACATGAGACACCGAGAATGGGACAAGAAGAGTGACTTTGAACTACATAAAAAATGATTTGGGGGGGAAGTTAACAAGAGACTGTATTTGCTTATAATTTGCATAGGAGGCCTTCCCCCCAAACATCATGTTAGTGTAACCTACTGAAAAGTTTTTCAAAAGGAGTATGAAACATGAAAATATAAAGAGAAAAGAGAGTGATGTGGAGAATTATTTCTCCTTAGCATCTCTTGCTTTTGTCTCACAATTCCACCTGCCAGCTCTTTTGCAGGCCCCTGCCCGTGCCCCCAGCTGTGCAGAGGCTGGGTGTGGGCGGGCTAGTTGTGGGCCTTTGCTGAGACTCAGCTGCTCTACTGCTCTTTGTAGCCTCCTCAGCTCAAAAACCAAGGCCTCCCAAGGTCAGGAGCTGAGACAAGCAGGCATGGGTGGAAGCGGGCTCTAGCAACCTCTGCCATGTGTGGGAGGAGAGGCAAGCCTAGCTTCTGGAATTTGGGGAGGGAGCTCTAGTGTGCAGAAGGGAGCAGTGTTGTCTCCTCTGGAGGCAGACTCATCTGCAACCCTAGTTTATTTAGCCTCAGCTTTGCATTCCAACCAGCATGTATCTGCAGGACCGCTAATGCGTCTCGCTTTATGAAGTCTTCTCATTTCCATAGTGAAGAAGGTGAACCAGATAGCTTCTAAAAGGTCATTTTTCGTGTTAAGCTTGCTGAGGAGGTAGTGACCAGGACTGGAGAGACCTGGTTGGGATCTTCTGTGGGTGCATATTTAGCGTCCTGGTGTGGTGGTGCTTTACCTTTCTGATCCTTTGTTTCCTTGCCTGTAACATGGGGATACAGATTTCTACCTGGTACAGTGGTCCTGAGGATCGGGGCGGTGCATGTAAGGGTATATGTAAAGGCTTGATGGTACATATTCTAAATCTCTCTTGAACTAGGCAGGTTTCCTGTTTTCAGAGTAAAACAAAATTCTAAAAATTTCATTTTTGAAACTTGGAGAGTAATGCAAAGAAGGTATGACAAATGTAGGATTTTATTTTAGTGTATAATAAAAACAAAGATCTTTGATAATTTATGTTAAGGTTATTAGAAAACTTGGGCTTTCAAATTTTATTTCACTCTTAAGCATTTTCATTTAAAAAAAAGTTTCTAAAACTGTTAACAGCAATTGAATTCTACAAAGGAAAGATACTTTAGGCCTTGACATTTTCAAAGAACTTGTTTATCTTTTCACTAGAAAATTGATGCTTCCCCCCTCTTTAATTCTTCAGCTTTATCTTATTGCTGGTTGGTATAAGAACACTGGATTTTTGGGGTGCCTGGGTGGCTCAGTCAGTCTGCTTTCTGCTCAGGTATTGATTCCAGGATTCTGGGATCGAGCCCCACATCGGGCTCCCTGCTCAGTGGGGAGCCTGCTTCTCCCTTTGCCTGCCACTTCCCCTGCTTGTGCTCTCTATCTCTCTGTCAAATAGATAAATAAAATCTTAAAAAAAACCCAAAACACTGGATTGTGTTCATTTGGTATATTTGATATAGTGTTTATCTATTTATATAGTTTATATACTATGTTGAAAAATGTGACTATACTGAGGTGTATTGCATTATGGTTTCACAATGGAACAGTTTATAATACCAAACAGTAGTTGGAAAAAGGTGAGAAACAGAAGTGATGATTTTCCGAACTGGTGGTATAATGGTTTTCCAAATCAAATTCAAAGCTTGAAACAGGTTTGACAGTACTTTAAGATACTGGGTGTTTTCTTTGCTGGTCTTATAACTCTGTTGTAACTACATTATCAATGGAAAATTTCTGTTAAAATTCCGGGGTTACTTGTCAGATTCCTTCCCCATCTCCTGTCCATTTGGTATTTGGGGTCAGTCAACACAAATGAGAGGCTGTCTAGTTTGTCTAAGCCATGCTTCTGCTTTTCCTTTTCTTTTTTTCAATAGTCCTACTTCAGATTTTAAAACCTTAGAATTACAAGCCCAACGGAATTACCTGTTTGGATTCTTTGTGAATTGATGTGTACAAAGGTAATGGAGCATGTTTAATCATGGAAACTGGCTGTCCCCCTCAGTGGACACTGTTCCAGTGAGAGCTGGCGGCCCACCGGCAAAGGAGCAGGGAGGGGATGATGCCTGCTATAGCAGGTGTGTGATGACTCGGTAGCAATGTTCACTGTATGTAGCCTCCCCTCCCTGCTCCTCTGGGAGGTGCATTTGTGCAAATCATAGCTCTTAAGTGTTGAGCTCAGAGCTGGGAATGTTGGGCATTGTTTGTGAATCTGAAGGGATTCATGGCTTTGGAGGAAGTCCCTGGGCTTAGGTGGAACTCTTCTGAATCAGAAGATGTTTTGCTTGGATTTAAAGAAGCTGAAGAATCCAGTCATTGCAAATATTTTTAAAAATTTTTTTAAAGACTTACTGATTTATTTGGGAGAGAGGGAAAGGGGGACAGAGGGAGAGAGAATCTTTTAAGCAGACTCCATGCTGAGCACAGAACCTGATGGTGGGCTCCAAGAGTTGGATGCTTAACTGGCTGTGCCACCCAGGTGCCCCTCATTGTAAAATATCTTAGAATATTTTACATAGCATAGAATATGTGCTCCTGAGAGGTCTGAGATTTGAGGGATGTATAGGTGAAGACTCTTGAGCAGAGCAGAGTGGTTTGGTTCATAGAGTTACCTTTTGGAAGGCTTCATCATTCACATTGGCTGTGTTGTCTTCCACCAAACTAAAAGCGTGACTGCTCCCAAGCAGGGTAGTTTTGTCTTTTTCATCTTTGTATCTTTGGTATGTAATGTAGCGATTAGCACATGGTGGGTGCTCAGTAATGATGCGTCAAACTGATGCAGACTGAACTGAAGGCTCGCTGCGGATTCGTGGTTTCCTAAGGTGCTGGGAGTGTTGAGAACTGCTTCCCCACCCATGTGCCATCTGGTGCTGCCTTGGTGGGACGGCCCAGTAGCTGGAGAACTTAGCGGGCTTTCGCTAGAGAGTCAGTTTAGTTTAATGAGCTTCAGAGAAGGGTACGGGCTGAGGGAACTTTAAAATTTAAAGTAGCTCTGGCTCTTCCAGAAGCAGCACTGTTCCCTGAGGAGGTAGTACACTGGAGAGACATCAGGGACTAGGTCGTCCCCTCCCAAATTTTCCATAACTTCTGAAATGCTCCCCTTGGCTCCACACAAGAGTCCCTTGCCATACTTGTGGTAACATATGGGTTGCTTAGGCCAAGGGATAGTTCACCTTCTACAGTTTCCTCTTTCTCATAAGGGGAAGCATGGCCAGGACCTGTTCTTTGAGTGTGTCCAAGGATAATGGCAGTGTTTTCTTGGGAGGCACATGGGTAAGAATGGGTGATGGTATTTCAAGCCAATTGCAAAGGATGCATGTTTCATTATAAAAACAGGAAGCAGAATATTTCAGTGTTTCTATCTTCAGAAAATATAAACTGAGTAACGGATAATTGCCTGTCTTATAAACTGTCGGTTTCCAAATCAACTTTTGAACTCTGTTTTTCAATTAAAAACTAAGAAGTTCCTGATCCCCAGACTTTGCTTTCTGACATCAGCTTAGCTGTGCCTCACGCAATACCACTCTAATTGACAGGGAAATTGCTAGAATAACAACTCTGCAAGCTTGTGTAACTTAACTTTTCTCTTTCAAACCTTGCAGGTACAACGGTGCCAGCCCACAGGGCCATCCTGGTGGCCCGTTGTGAAGTGATGGCAGCCATGTTTAATGGGAATTACATGGAAGCAAAGAGTGTTCTGATTCCAGTTTATGGTGTTTCCAAAGAGACTTTCTTGTCATTCTTAGAATACCTATACACAGACTCCTGTTGCCCAGGTGAGCAGTCTAAATATTAGATAATATCTTACAATTTATTTCCTTGTCACTCATTTTGATAAAGTGCTTTCTATGAAATTTTTTTTTCTTAAGATTGATCAGAGTTGACATCATGGAATGTGCTAGTCAGGTAAGGTGGTATTGGGACGACCATGAATTTTCAGTCAGTTCTCACATCCCAGCCAGCCCCAACAGTGTGGTGATTATGTGGACACCTAGAAATGGAGGTGTTTTGTGGTACCCAGGGACTAATTCTACAGATTGGAACATCCCACATCCCTTCCATAAAGAGATGAGGTTTGGGCAGCTGCTTTTATGGCTCTAACTTGTGATTGAGGCACTTTTAAGGACTTTGAATATTCTGAGACTCCTTGGTCATCTCTGTGGCTCAGAGAATGTGAGGGTTTTTTTTTAAGCCTTCTTCTGACTACTCCTACAGTCATATTCTCCTTTAACTTCTCCAAAAACTTTTCCTGAGATGTTTAGGATACCCAGCGGACTGGAGGATTTATATCCCTATTTACTGACTTAGGACTATCTTTGACTAAAAACTAATCATCTTTGGCAGCTATAGGTTGGAACAGACCTTGCAGGTGTTTTTTCTAGCTGGGGGTCTCCTTGGAGAAATTTCAAAATCCTTTCTACAATCCTAGAGCCTTGGGATGCTGGCACAGAAGCCCCCTTAATTCATCTTCATCCTCTGGCCACTAGATGGCTCCCACCACAAACACAACTACCACAAACACAACTAGAATAAATCCCTGGCAGTTTACTTAATTAGTCAAGGAGCCGAAGACCTTGATTACAGGACCTGGCCAGGTATTCTAGCAAATATAAAAAGAAAACACATTTCAGACCATCGCTCTCTTCAGATTTATTGCTTTCACTTTTAGATTAAGAAGTTTTTCAACCTTTGCTATTTAAAATCTCTTAAGTTTTAAACAAGTCATGAGCCCTCTAGTGAAAGGTTTTAGAAGTTCAAAAAAAGAAAATTCCTTTTTTAACTGAATTAATTCTGGTCTTGCAGCCAGCTGTAGAGTACTTTGGAGCCAGTTACAGTTGCTACTGTCAGTGTTAAAGACGGGCTTATTATATTTGCTTGATAAAAATGAAAGCATCGATTCTCATCAGAATGTGTGTTGTTTATTTTATTATTTTAATACTGGTGAATTTGTATGTTAAATAAAAATTTTTACCCAGATTTAGAATAATAAGAAAATTTAGTTTCTCAGTCATCCTCCCACTAATAAATTGAAGCTTCAAATTTTAGGTCTTCTCCTGCTAATTAGAAAAAATGCTTAGAGAAGCACTAATAACTATAGGACAAAGCACTTTAAAGCTTGGTAAAAGGTGTGGGGAGAAAATGAGTCAAAATTAATAATCAGAAAGTAGATCAGTACTAGAATGTTTGTATTGGGAAATCGCAGAAAGAAAGATGATCTATTCATTGTGTTAAGTATGGATCATACACAGTGTTCTTGGTTCCTAGCTACAAAACAATGCAAGAAATTTAAGGAGGACTTAAAAAGAGAATAACCTGAAAAATCACGTCTAGGGAAGCTTAAAAAAAAACAACCACAAACACACACACACAAACAACCTGAGCGATTGCCAGGGGTTAAAGGAAGGTGGAAATGGGGAGTTATTGCTTAATGGGTATAGAGTTTCAGTTTGGGAAGAAGAAAAATGTTCTGGAAATGGATGATGGTGATGGTTGCACCACAATGTGAATGTACCTTAATGTCACTGAAAAACCGTACACTTTAAAGTGGTTAGTGATAAATTTTATGTTATGCTTGTTTTGCCACAATAAAAACAACAAACAAACTTGGGGACTAAAGAGAAGAAAAATTACAAGGATTTAGTTTAGCTAGCCTAAAGAATTACATAACAGCCTTAGAACTGATTATTTAAGGGCAATTGTAGAATTGCCTTCTCTGAAGAATTGAGAAACAACAATGAAAATATTCACTTTAGAGTATGAAGGCTTAAAGTAATTCTTTTTAAAATGGCATAATAGGGGTGCCTATTTATACGGGCTCCGTCGGTGGAGTGTGAGTTCTTGATTTCAGGGTGGTGAGTTCGTACCGCGTGTTGGGTGTAGAGATTTCTTAAAAATAAAATCTTTAAAAATAAGTAAGTAGATAAATAAAATGGCATACTAGTATAGAATGCAGACTCAACTTCTAGGCTTTTTCTCTGCATTCTGTTGTACACTGGCTGCTATAGTCAGCCTTGTTTTATTGTTGTTTGTTTGCTTTTTGTTGTTGTTTTGTTTTAGGTAATAAAAGAAACGGCTTTATTGTCCATTTTCTCTTTTTTCCCTTCCTGCCTCAGCTGGCATTTTCCAGGCTATGTGTCTTCTGATCTGTGCTGAGATGTATCAGGTGTCCAGACTGCAGCACATCTGTGAGCTTTTCATCATCACGCAGCTGCAGAGCATGCCAAGCAGGGAGTTGGCATCTATGAACCTGGATATAGTTGACCTGCTCAAAAAAGCCAAGGTACTTGCCCCTGTGTGTCTGGTTGTTTGATTAAAAAAAGAAATTCTTCTAAAAATTATACTACTTTTAAAAAAATTTCTATTTGTTGAGAGATACATTAGTGTTTGTCTCAGTTTGGAAGTTTGGCTGAATGAGGGTAAAGTGCCCTCACCTCAATTTCTGTGGCTAGATCATTTTGAAGCATCAGTTTTTTGAGCAGTTTTTTCCCAAGGAGGTAGAATTTGCTGATAAGAAAGTTTTCACCTGAATGGTGGCCTTTATTGGAGTCATCTGAGTATGGTGCTTTATTATGCCGTATCAGCATTATAGGAAATAGAACTTAGGTTGAATTTCCCCAAAGCAGCCACATCTCAGTGTTCAAGAAGAATTGGTCCATGCATACTGACAGAGATGGTTATGCTAAACTCATTTATTTGTTCATTCATTCATCCTTTCACTTCATGGACATGTTTTGAAGTTTCCCAGTTGTTTGTAGGAGGTATTGATACTTCATTAATCCTTTCAAAGTGCCTTTTGTTGATATGTCTCATGTATATCCAGTATAAACATTTGAGTTGAGAATTACTATAGTACACCATACTTTCTGGCTTCTTCTTAAGCTTAGGGCCTTTTTGTTTTTTAAGAATTGCATTGCTACACATTCTAGGGAACAGAGTTTACCTGGTTAAGCTAATTATGAATAACTGCAGTCACAGAGACCCTAGAATCTGAATCTCACAAAGGACCCGGCCGATCTATAAACTAGGTTTGCGGTCTTGAAGTCTTCTGGAACCTGATGTTGTGCCAGTCAGAAATCTGTTACTTCCTCATTCCCCTAAGGGGAACAGGCGGTTTATCCAGACACGTCATCCCACCCTTGGTTATTCTACTGTTCCATCCTCTGCCCTATGACAGTTTTAAGGCTTGTGGCAGTCATGGAATATAATGGTCTGTATTGAACTTGCCCTAAGCTGAAACTTCGAGGTCTTTACAGGAATATATCTGATCCATCGGGACATTGTAAAATGTTATCTGGCATACAACATTTGGCTATCCCTATTACCTTCGACATCCAAAATTAGAAAAAGAGGACAACTTTGTCTTCAAGTTGCTAAAATGGAGCCACATAATGGGGCAAAGGAAAGACCGCTAAAAGCTTGCCTCCATGTTGAGATGAATTCATAAAGTGATACTGTGTATTTCTGGGCATAAGATTCAAGAATTCATTTGAAGCATCTAGGTCTTCTTTTACTGTCTCCTTAACTATTTTGGAGTTCATTTCTTTCATAATCAAGTGTTAAGACCATATATATTAAATTTTAAGGATAAAATTTAATTTAGAAAACTGAGTAACCTTCTGCACAGAGTTGGAGCTCAGAGCTGAAGCCGCTCTCACAAGTAGGCAGTGTGCACACAAGGGCTAAGTCCTTTGCTAACACCGCAAGGGTCTCTGGCCCAGTGAGTGCAGTGTGATAGTAATTCTTGCTGCAGGTAAAACCAAACCAAACCAACCCCCCCCAAAACCTGAGTGACCTCGATCTCTGTAATGTATTTACATTGAGCTTGGGATAAATAGCTAACCTCTAGATTTAGTTTAAAATTTCTTTTTCATTCATTCTGGTATTTTTCACAACCTCCGTTCATTTTTGATGTATCATTTCCATACTCTTCTACCAAGTCTGTCATACTTTAAAAAAAAATGGTCACAATGGGGCGCCTGGGTGGCTCAGTCAGTTAAACGTCTGCCTTCAGCTCAGGACATGGTCCCAGGGTCCTGGGATCGAGCCCCGCATCGGGCTCCCCGCTCGGCGGGAAGCCTGCTTCTCCCTCTGCCACTCCCCCTGCTCGTGTTCCCTCTCTCGCTGTGTCTCTCTCTCTGTCAAATAAATAAATAAAATCTTTAAAAGAAAATGGTCACAAGCTTTTCTTTCCTGATCACGTCGTATCCTTTTAGTTCCTGCGTCCGAGAATCTCCTGTCCGGCTGCATTGATGTTTTAGGTCGCACGCGTGCACGCGTGCGTGTCTTTTATGGTTGCGTCGTCAGCGGTTCTTCCTGACCTGTTTTCCCTGACTCTGTGCTTTCTGATTATGTAATTATCCTTATTCATTTCTCTTTAACTTGAAAAGTTTAAGACACCAGCCCTTTTTGAATTTTACTGTTTGTGTCTGAAGACTTTTCTATTTTCTAGGATTAAGTCTCCATTTCCCAGTTTTCCTTTATTCTATTCCTGGTGGTCCCTAATTTGGCAATTACAAATCCAGGGTAACAGGGTCATTTTCTTCGCCAGTTCTCTTGGAAGTTTATAGTTTGAGGCTTTAGTTCACCAGCCAGTTCATACTGTTGGTCAGAATTTAGTTAATCTTTCCTTCATTGTTTCTCTGACTTCTGGAAGGTGAAATTGTCTTTTAGCAGAATTAGACTTTGAGTAGCTTTTTGAATAATCAGAATTTCCAAACACTCTGTTGTCATCTCTGCTAGCTTTGCATTGTTTATCAGGAAAGCATCCTTCATACCTTTGATATAGCTGAGCAGTTTGGTATTCTCCCACTAATGCTTCCTCCTTCCCCTAACGTTTCTCCTTTAAGTTCATCTGTTTCCATCAAGTTGGGCTTCTATCATGCAAGAGAAGCTTCTTTCCCTTAATCAGAGTAAGTTCTTTGAACTCTGGTAGACATCTTCTTATCTCTGCTCCCATTTATACCCTAACTAGCCGAACTTTGGTGATTCCTCTGAAGTCCTGTTAACCATATTAAAGTTTCAAACTCAATATCTTACTTATAAAAACTTAATGTCTTACTTATAATCTGTGCATTAATATTTGGCTGCTTCAGGCCACCAGTTTTGTTTCTGATCATCTCCTTGTGAGTTTCTGGGTGTTTTCTCCACCATTATTATTCTTCACAGAGCTATTAAATGCTATAACATTTTGTTTATGGTATTTTTAAAGCCTTTCTTTTTTATTCTGTTGTTTATTTCAGTTTAAACCTACTTTGTCTCGGGTGCCTGGGTGGCACAGTCAGATAAGCATCCAATTCTTGGTTTCTGCTCAGGTTGTGATCTCGGGGTTGTGGGATTGAGCCCCGAGTCGCATCAGGCTCCATGCTCGGTGGGGAGTCTGCTTAAGGTTCTCTCCCTCTCCCTCTGCCCCTCCCACTCATGTGTGCACATGGGCATGCTCTCTCTCTCTTTCTCTCTCTCTCTCTCTGAAATAAATAACTTAATCATAAAACAAACAAATAAATAAACCTGCTTTCTCAGGTTAGCCATATTCTTCCAAAAAAGTAGTTCTTACAGTGAACCGCTCTTTATCTTCGCTAAGAGCCTACAGTTGTGATATCTTAAATCTTGGTCAAAAATAAAATTCTGCATTTTACTACGTTTTTGTAGCCAGCTATTCATTTCTGTGATCTTCCTTCTCTTTAAAGTCACAGCCCTTAGGTGATGTTTTGAACTTTTGTTTGTAGGTTGTCTGCTTTGGGTTAATCATCTTATAGTGCTGGTGGCTTCTGTTAAAATAGCTACACATTCTTGTTCTGTCCCTTTGAGATGGCTCACATTTGTATGCTGAAAGTTAAGGTGAATAAAAATTGGTAAAATGTGATGTGGGATTTGATGAACCACAAAGTGTCTTACAATTCAAAAATTCTGATTTTTGTATAATGAAAATCAGAGGAACCTGTGGATTTACATGTGAAAATATTCCCACATTATAACTTTTTAAAAGAGCAATGCTTGAGTCTCTTCCTTAAGATGTGAGATTATAAATCTTTCTTCGATTTAGCATTACTTATTGCTTATATAATATCTTTGAGTTTCCCTAAAAGAGCTATATTTAGCTTAAAGGTGAACAGCTTAAATGTCCATCAACAGATGAATGAATAAATAAAATGTGGTATATACATGCAGTGGAATATTACTGAGTCCCAAAATGGAATGACATTGTAATACATGCTGCAACATGGATGCTTACTTGAGGACATTATACTAAGTACAATAAACTAGACAGAGAAAGCATACCTATTGTATAAGTCAGTGTCTGTGAGGTACCTGGAATAGTCAAATTCATAGAGAGAAACATAGAATAGTGGTTAACAGGGACTAGGGGTAGGGGCAAAAGGGGAGTTATTATTTAATGAGTATAGAGTTTCAGTTTGGGATGATAAAAACATTCTGGAAATAGTGGGGATGGTTGCATAATAATGTGAATGTACTTAATGCCACTGGTACCCTTAAAGAAGGTTAAAATGGTAAATTTTATGTTATGTGTATTTTAACCACAATAATAACAAAAAGAACTATACTCATGTATCAAAGTGGCCTGCCAGCACGTTACTGTAGTCTGAACTGAGTGGTTAGATGGATCGGTGAGCATCACTGGACTGGCACCAAGGTGAGGATGTCATGGCCATGGTGCTCTGAGTTTCCCTTCCATTAGCTTTTGAAGTTCAGCATGAGAAACATACTGGAAATTATAGTGAGCAGGATTACTACATCCTAGTTAAAAGCATCCTTTTAACTACATCCTAGTTAAAAGCAACTGTTCAGACATAACCTTCTCATAGAAATATGTACACATTGAAGCCCATCCCCTTAGGTTGATGACATTTCCTCCAAAAAATATTTTTCGGTTTGCTCCTCAGGTGAACTTGTTTAGATACGGCCAATTGTGTCCCTTTGCTAACCATAATCTTATCTCTGCTACACTGATATAAGTGCAGTTAGTGAAGTCCGTGACCTTAGATTAAAAGCTTAAAGGAAATCCTTAAGAACTTCCAAGAGTCTCTGTTAACCACTGATGTGGCGTACCTCTGTCCAAGACGCTTAGCCACTCCAGCACCGGTAGCTTGTTACTCATTTGATTTGGTTTCTTCACTGATGTAATTTTTTTTTATTACATGTAAAGAATTCTCCCTTTTCCTTTCTGCTCTCAGAATAGGCAGAAGGCTGCATCATATATGGACGCCGTCAACATGGAGTCAGGCTCTCCACGATTTGTCCCAGACCATACTCTCCACCTGTTCATCGTCTCAATGGTTATTATATACAACATTGTTTCACTTTCCACTTTTCTTGCAGTTTCACCACTCCGATTGCCTTTCAACCTGGCTACTTCATTTCATTGCCACTAACTACCTCATCTTCAGCCAAAAGCCTGAATTTCAGGATCTTTCAGGTAGATTGCCAATTAATGTTTTGAAAAGAAAACTTCATTCTTTGTTCTTAGGTTTAAGACATAGTTTGTAGGAATAGTAGTTGTTAAAAAACAAAAAGTAAAAAAAAAAAGTCAGTGTCATACATTCTTCTTAACTACACAGTGTGGTAATGGAGGACACTTTAACTTACAGTCACCTGGTTATAAAAATAGCTTGACCTGTGTTACATAAGAAGCTTTCTAATGATTGTTTTATAGCTCCCATCCATTTTTAAGTGCACCTTTTCTCTGAAGTAGAGAGATAAGGTGGCCTCAGGTGGCATTTGATTGTGATAAATGATATCTTAGTTTTTAACCACCTAAGTCAGAAGCAAAATTTAAACAGTACAGATTTAAAAATTTTTTTCTTGTGAAGAAATTGTAAATATCCTTTATTATTTATAATATGTAGTTCTGATATCTACATCTATTTAAGTCTATCTGTATAGGAATCCGTTATATTACTTGGGAACTAAGTTTTTTAATTGGTCAGAGAATGTTGCAAAACTTACTGAACAGAGAGTATACCTAATGTGATCTTTAAGGTAAATTGTCAAGATTAAAACCAAAGTGTGAGCTCCTGAGTGCTGCGTAAGAAGAAAGAAAATAAAAACAGAAGAGCCATCAGAGTAGATGGTCAGTTTAGATACGATGGTTTACTCATGTTACCTAGACTAGGTGCAGGGAATAATCCAATTAAAAGGCAAAAAAGATCCCCTAGTTAAGTGGTTTTAAACTAAGCAGGGAGGTGTCCTTGGAGATACCTGCAGGTTTTCTGAGGTGCGGGCAGAGAGCGGGGAGCGGCTGAGGAAGAGGAGAGAGGGGAGAAGGGGAGGCTGGAGTTTGTAGGTCTTGGATGCCCAGCCCTTTAACCAGAGTAGTTCCACTTTTATCTGTTTTATCTGCTGTTCTCCGTAAAATTTGACTTCTAAAAGATAATCTGCTGCTAAAATATTTGTAGATCTCTGGTTTCTTTCAGCTTCTTGCACAGATAAGGAAACCAGGAAACAGTCTATTTCTGGCAGATAGATTCAGTTAGTTGACAAACATCGTATGCCTATTGGGAGCCTTCTTATATAGAGCTGAATTACTAGTGCAGTCATAGTAAGCAGAATATAGGTATTTCCTAACCATCTCCTTTGTGCAGGAAGGAAACTAATTCCACTCATAAAGAGGAGGCATGCTTCTTGCTGTTAGTAGGGACATTCTAATACAGTCATTCTTTAAGAAATCAATTCAAAATGAAATGAGTGAACATTGTGATTTTAGAACTACCTTTGTTCTGCTGCCTTAGGTCCCCTCCATTTGTATTTTCCATTTACGGTCTTGTAGAGATGAATGCCACACACAGAGTACTAGTACAACCTTAGGAGAAAGGTGCTCTATAAATCCTTCGAGTTATAAATTTTTATTTTATTTTATTACTTATACAATTGACTGTAAAGTATGTTAGGGCCAGCTGGCATAGTGAGAAGAAGGAGTCCAGGGTGTAATTTTGGGAAGGCAGGTAAGAAGATGAGGCTGTGTCCTTGATTGTCTTCTGTTCCTTTGCTGGGGGCTACAAAGGTATCAGTAGTACCTGTCTGTGTTCAGGACCTGCTGTCATGTGTCCTCGGGGGCAGAGAAAAAAGCCCCTGGTGGATAGGGAGAATTAGATAGTCTAATTGAGTGGTCACACACTGGGAATCTATGGGTCGAACGTAGCTGAATACAGTCTGCCAGGGGGTTTTATTTGGACCACACGGTATTACTTTTTTTTAGTGTCACCCTTTAAAAATTGTAACATGTCACATCTTAAAAATCCAAATTTCTGGCTTCTTTTGAAAAGTTGGAAGATCTGGCTGCCCTGGGCCCATCTTCCCACATGGCAGCAACCTGGAGATGAGCAGTATCTCAGCCCAGTTACAGTAGCATGTCTCCTCCAGAATGTCCTCAGACTTCAACTGCCTCACATGGCCACTTGAAGTTGGAAGGGTTCTTGTAACAGTTTACAGCTCCCTTAAATAATTTCCCATTTTCAGTTTCAGACATTATCAAGTAATCATTGGAATTCTGTGAAGTGTTTTCTCTTGCCTGAGAATTCTTCTTCCTTAGGGGTGTTTAGAAATGGAAAAGTGACACTAGACAAGCTGTCGTGTTAATGCTGGCATTGATACAGCAGGACTCAGTTAAATAGCCCTTTCAATGTTAGGTATATTTTATATGTTGGACTCTTTTAAACACAAACAGCAATGCATAGGAAAATAAGTTACCCTTGGCATTTATGGATTCATTATTCTCACAGTTTGACTTAGCTCAGTGTTATGTTACATATTCTGTATTGTGGAGTTTTTTGTCTTGTTTTGGTTTTTGCTGGCTGCCAGAGCTCATCTGTGATAACTTTTCTCTCTCTTTTTTAAATCTTAAGGGAGTAGTCTTATGTCATGTTTGCGTACTAATGAACCCTACAACTAACTTCCCTGAGCTGCTAGGTTCTTTCCTTTTGTGCACATCCTGCAGCCTGGATCATGACCTCATTAATCTGAATTGTAATATATGAGGTCAAATAGTAGATGGGGAAGTGGGAACTGACTTTGCAGAAGGAAATCTAAGTACCTGCAGAAGGGAATGGTGATGAGAAGCAAGCTGAGTCACCTAGCAGAAAACCAAGAAGCCTTAGAAATCTGAGGGACCAAGTATTTCAGAAAGCAGAATGAGGCTTGGGGCTGAAAGCAGTAGAATTAGTTGAAAGTTATGAAGAAGGGGGTGCCTGGGTGGCTCACTCAGTTGAGCATCTGTCTCTGGGGTTTGGCTTGGGTCTTGGTCTTGGGGTCGAGCCCTACATCCGGCTCTGCGCTCAGCAGGGGGTCTGCTTGAGATTCTCTCCCTCTCCCCTGGCTCAAGTGTGCTCTCTCTCTAAAATAAATAAATAAATAAAAGCTTTAAAAAAAAGGAAAGTTATGAAAAAGCTTTTGCTGCACTCCATCCCACCTAGGCAGGCAACTCCTTCTTCATCATCGTAGGAGATGGGAGTTTTATTCCTGGAGAAATTAAACCAAAAAAGTTATAGAATCACAAACTTCAGGTATAGCTGAGATTGGTTGGGTTAAGGAGCTGAACTGAAGGGGCACCTGGGCAGCTCAGTCGGTTAAGCATCTGCCTTCAGCTCAGATCATGATCCCAGGGTCCTGGGATCGAGCCCTGCATTGGGCTCCCTGCTCAGCAGGGAGCCTGCTTCTCCCTCTCCCACTCCCCCTGCTTGTGTTCCCTCTCTCGCTGTGTGTGTCTCTCTCTCTGTTAATTAAATAAATAAAATCTTAAAAAAAAAAAACCTGAACTGAAAACAGGATCATGTGAAAGTGTACACGTTGTGTAGTAAGCTACCAGCCTCCTTCCCGTGTCCAGGTTCTAGAATTCTAGCACCAGGCATTGCTGCCTTGACTCCCACACTCTGGGCATGAGACTGAAGCATCTTTCTCTGGCCCTGGAGAAAAAATATATAGATGCAATCATTTGGAAATTCTGTCAGTGAACCCAACAGATATCTGCTCAATTATTCCACCAGTCAGTAAGTCCTACCCATGACCACACGATATCCAAACAGCTATCTACTATCTCACTCTTAAATGTAAGGATATAACTGAGGATCTTCAGATATTTTAGGCAATATCTAACATAAAAGACAGATACCAAACCAAAATAAAAACAGAAGAGAAAGAATAGAAAGAAAACCTTTAAAAATCCTAAAATTAATATCCTCAGAGAATAAGAGATATGAATTTATAAAGCAGGAGAGAATGTTATTTAAAAAGAAACAATATTCACAAAGACAGAAAATAGAATGATGGTTGCCAGGGACTGGGGGGGACAGGGAAATAGAGAATTGTTAATGGGTATAGAGTTTTAATTTTGCAAGATGAGAAGAGTTCTGGAAATTGATTGCACCACAGTGTGAATGTACGTGACGATACTGAACTATATACTTAAAAATCGTTAAGATAGTAAATTTTAGGTTGTGTATGCTTTATCATAGTCTAGAAAACAATACAAAAACAAGGAGTTCTTGGAAATTACAAACATAGCAAAAAACAGAAACAAAACAACAACAAAAAACAAAACCCTAAATAAAAAGAGCTGAAACAACTACATAAAAGTTGAGAGGTAAAGATGAGGACATCTTCTAAAAAGTAAGACAAAAAGATAAAGAGGAGAGAAAGTTTTTTTAAAAAGTTTGGGGCTCAATCCAGGAGATGAAGTATCTGAGGAAAAGAAGTTAATACAGAATGAAACAGTGGAGAGGAACTTATCAAGCAAGTAATACAGGAAATTATTCTAATCCCGAAGGACCTGAGTCTTAAGACTGAAAGGACCTGCTAGGCGCTCAGCATTATGAGTGAACCAGGTCCATCCCTGGGACATACAAGAACACCGACTATAAATAGAAAAATATGAAAGTTTTAAAAGAACACAGATTACTTGCCAAGAGCTATAAATCTGAACGGTAGAGGAGTGTTTAATAACCTTGGAAACTAGAATGCAGTGGAATTCTGTCTTCAACATTCTGAGGGAAGTTTTCCACCTAGAATTCTGTACTAAACCAAATTATCAATTGTGTGTGAAGAGGATAAAGATGTTTCATCACCAAGCAAGGTCTCAAAAATGATTCAGATGGTACCCTCTTTTTCAGAGAGCTAATAAAGTTTATGCTTCTCCAAAAATGGAAAATAAACTGAGTGAAGGGCCCGGAGTCCAAGAGTGGAGGGATCCAACACAGAAGCAGGAAGCAGGCCTAGAAAGCAGGAGGGTGCAGGGCTGTGAGGAGAAGGGGCCAGCAGCTGCCACCAGAGTGGTTAGCTTGTCTGGTGACTGTGGCTGGGTGGAGACTTGAGAGAATAGACTCGAGAGGGCCTTAAAGAGTTTGGGAGGCTGAGGTAGCTACGGAGAAAACTAAGCGAAAAACAAGTCTGTTATCTCCAAGAAAAACAAGTCTTATTCGGAAAAACAAAAGAATAGACGTAGTACTTGATGAAGCAGTGGACAAGACGTATATTGTGGCAAATCACATAATAATTTAAATCCTGATGACTGATTTCACCAAAAGTGTGTTAAACAGTTGTGGAAGCATTAAGAGAAAGGTAGGGGATATGTAGCCGAACTCACATATCCTCTATTAAATAGGAAATCAGTAGTTAATATCTAAACTTGATCCAAAATAAAATATTTGCAATTAACATTCTTTTTCTAAAAATTTTAGTGGAAGAACGCAGTTTTGTTGAAAAGCACAGATGGCCATCGAATATGTACTTGAAGCAGCTTGCGGAATACAGGAAGTATATTCACTCCCGGAAGTGTCGTTGCTTAGTAATGTAACCCAGAGCTTTTATATGCATATGCTTTTTATTATTATTATGAAGAAGAATGGGGTGCCTCTGTGTTCCAGTAAAATTCTGTGACTGAAAACCAATATGGGCGTTTAAAAAACTACCATACAGCTTAGAGTGTTTGTTAGTTCTCTGAAAAAAAACTACTATTGTGATTTTAAAAGGGAACAAAATATACCATAGGCTAAAACCAAGGCTTCACCATCCTAGTATGTAAAGCTGTCATACAGCTTCTTTTCCCCTTTAAGATGCCCTATTGCTTTAGTGATACTAATACGCCTCCCAGTTAAGTAATGTTTAAGTTAAAAAAAAAAATCATGTAGTATCAATTAAAAATTTTCATTATGTCTGATTAATTGCTCTCTTAAAGTAAGGGCGTTTTAAAGACCCAGTATGACTATTTCAATAATGAAAAAATCTAGGGTAAAGCTGATCAATCTGAAATTTTAGCAATAGATATTTGCGTGGGATTTCGAGAGTGAAACGGCGCTTGGTTTCAAATCAGTGACAGTGTTTGAACCATCGTGAAAAAACTTTGTTTTTTATGTGGACAACCCAACTGAGCCACTTTGTCTTTTCTGTGGGATGCTGATTGGGCAGGAAACCTAAACAGGGCTGGCTTCACAGCCGTGGCACCTCTTGTCACCACACAGGGCCCCGTGCTTGGTGTGATGCTCTGCTGTTACCATCTTGAAATTCTTAATAATGTTTAAAGAAAGGCCCTGCATTTTCACTTTGTACTGGGCCCCCCAAATTATGTGTGTCTCCTAGCAGGATATGTACTGTATTTTCTTGCTTAAACATCATTCTCTCTGAAAGCAAAAAAGAGGCACTGACATGGAGGGAAGAGATCACGTGGGGTTTCCCATTCTTGGGGACGTCTGTACCACGGCGTGTGGGGGGAGCTCTGCTGCCACCTTGGCGGGCAAGGGAGATACGCCTTGTGTTTACTCAGCTTTAAAACGCTCACAGCCCTGGCTCTGTCACAGTTGAACAAATGCTTTCTTGCTCATTTTAAGACCGGGATGTTGGTAAAAGCTACTGACTGGTGTGAATTTAAAACACATTTATAAAAATACTCGTAGGAAGAGATCCTTTCTAGAGAAATTGCAATCAGTGGCTTAAGAGTTTTTTGTTTCATGTACTTACTAAGCTTAGGAGACCAGCGGCTTGAATTGTTTGAATTCTTTCTGAGGACCATAATGTTATTTAATGAAGAGTAGCATGAATCTTGTCCTTCAAGATAACCCAGTAAATTAAGAGAAAGGTTAAAGACTCAGTACATAGAAAATGGTACTAGCATGGAATTATAGTTTCTCTTGTATCACGTGTCAACAGAAATAACTAGAAGTTCACAAGCCGAGAGATGGAAAACCAGATTACTCTTTATCAATAACATCATTTTCATCTATAATTCAGTATTGGGATATATTTTAATTTCTAATGACTTTTAAGGACACCAAGTTTTTTCAGTTATTCAAAAGTTTGATTAAACAGTTTTATACCACGGTATTAGACATAATACTATACGGTTAGTCCTTGGATGTATATAAACACTGTTAGAGTAAAACAGTAAAAATGCCCTATATATATCTTCCAAGAAACTTGATTTTAATTAGATTATTTCGATGAAGATTACTGGAATGCATTTTATGTTTTTTGTACTTTAATCACTTAACTCTTGGCAAATCCCATTTGATAAGGATAAGCATTGTAAAGAATAAATACTATAGTAGATCTCTAGAAATTCATCACATATAAGATCTTTTAAAACACAGTAATAGCCTTATGTTCTTCCTAAGGTAGTCTTTCCCCTATGTGAATTATAGCACTTAAAATTCGAAATCAGTAACTTTTGATCTAGGAAATTGAAAAAAACATTAAGTTCTAAAGCAAAATATTTCCTTGAAAATACTATTTCACATTTACATAGACCATAGATACTTTTGAGGTTGTTTGACCTGAGTGGAAGTTGAGTTTGGAAGCTGGTGCTCTGTGGGTGTTGAGCATGTAGATTTTATTACGAAAGTCATTTACCACCTGTGTGAGTAACTAAAGCACACAGATGTTGTGGCTCTTCAGACCTAGTCAAAACAGTAATCAAATTAGTTTTTAAACCTAGACTCTTCGGTACCTTTGAATTAACTCAATTTAAAATAACAAGAAATTTAAAAATACTTATAAACTATCTTGGAGAAATGAGTGCTCTCTTTGAGTTTTTTTTTTTTAATTGAAAGATTATTTCTGGATGAATGTATGCTTTGAGTTCATCTCTGCTTCAATATATTTACCAATCATTTTAATTAGAGAAGATACTGTGTGATAGAACTAAGGCCTTTTCTTTCTGGGCCAGGTTTTCACCTTATATAACCCTTTGTATACTTCTTACTGCTCTTTGTTCCTATTATAAGAGAGTAGGCTTATAAAATAGAAGTTTCAGTAACATAACTGAAATTCACCCTGTCCAGCCGGCATGGCGGCTTCACATTGGGCAGTGGCAGAAAACTGAACAGTTGGATTAATTGAACTTCCAAGACAGCTAAACTTTTCAACTGCAATTTTAAAAACTACACTACACTGACATAATTAGAAAAAAAATTTCCTCAAGAGTACTTTATTTTATTTAAAGCATCTGTTTAATTCAATCTTTAATAATTTTACTAAGAAGGGTATGTGTGTATTTTAATATAGCCTGACCTGAATTTATATGTTTTTAGTTTTAGTATTTAACATTTTGTAACAAATAAACCTTTTTTAAAACAAGTTTAACACAGTGTCCTGCAGTTATTTTACCTCGGATGTGGAAATGCTGGAATAAATTTGGGAATACTGCCTGTGTTTCTCAAGCATAATTATGTTTCACAGATAATTAGATGACATGTAGGGTATGTAGAATATTGTTGATGTTGTAGATGCATGTGATGAGGTAAAGACATTTATATTACCTTGACCAGCTGGTACCAGAATTTCTCTTAACAAAATAACTGCCTTTATTTAGAAAAATGTTTTGATAATTATTTAGCATGGAAGTGAGCCCCGTGGGCTTGAGTGTTGGCTGAGGCCAAGACTTTTGAGAAGTAGAGAAGCCGCTCTGCATAATAAAGGGTTAAGAAGTTGGAACTTTCCAACAAAATGGAAAGACAAGCTACTGAAGGGGAGAAAGTTCTTGCAAAATCATTTATCTTATAATGGGTTAATATCCAAAATATGTAAAGAACTCATACATCTCAATAGTAACAAAGCAACACAATGTAATTGAAACATGGGCAGAGAATCTGAACAGAGATATTTTTCTAAAGAAGACATAGACATGGTCAACAGGCACATGAAAAGATGCTTAGCAGAGACATGCAAATCAAAACCACAATGAAGCATCACCTCACACCAGTTAGAATGGCTATTATCAAAAAGATGAGATAACATGTTGGCGAGGAGGTGGAAAAAAAGGAACCCTCGTGGAATGCTGGTGGAAACGTAGATTGGTGCAACCACTATGGAGAACAGTGAAGAGGTTCCTCAAAAAATTAAAAATGAAACTACCATATGATCTAGCAATTCCACATTTGGGTATTTATCTGAAAAAAAATGAAAAAACTAACTTGAAAAGCTATCTGCACCTCCATGTTCATTGCAGCATTATTTACAATAGCCAAGACATGGAAACAACCTAAGTCTCAATCATTGGATGAAGAAGGGATAAGACAAATGTGGTGTGTATATACAATGGCGTATTATTCAGGTATAAAAAACTATGAAATCTTGCCATTTGTGACATGGATGGACCTTGAGGGCATTACGTTAAGTAAAATAAGTCCAACTGAGAAGGACAAGTACCATGTGAGCTCACTTATATGTGGAATCTTAAAACAACAGCAACAACAAAAACCACCAGGCTCATACAGAGAACAGATTGGCCAGAGGTGGGGGTTGGGGATTGGGGATGGGTGAAATGGGTAAAGGGGGGTCAAAAGGTATAAACTTCTAGTCGTAAGATGTTATCATTGGATGTAATATACGGTATGGTGACTAGTTAATACTGTATTTGTATTTGAAAGTTGGTAAGAGAGTAGATCTAAAAGTACTCATCACAAGAAAAAAAAATTTGTGACTGTGTGGTAATGGACGGTAACTAGAATGTGGTGATCATTTTGCAGTATCTACAGAAAGTGAATCATTATTTGTACACCTAAAACTAATATAATGTTACCCAGCTACATCTCAGTTAAAAAAAAAAAAGAAAGAATTTGGAACTTCCCAGGGCTAAAGAGGCCAGATAGAAGAGGGAGAAAGACAAAGCAATCAGTATGAAAATGGAGTGTGTGGTATATAATGCAATTCCTCCCCAGGTTACCCAATTACTAGTAAAGTCTACTAAATCCATAAAGGCCTCCACAGTTCCCCTGGAATTATGTTGCAAACACAAATCTGACCTGGCGACATGCTCTTCTAGAGGACCCCAATTACCTATAGGAACCTCCACAGTCCTCATTGCCATCACGGCCTTTCATAACTAGCCCTGTCTGTTCTGCCTTGACATGTGAGATATTGGCTGTGCACTTGCACACTTCATAGTCTTCCCGTGCCTTGGGTTGGGTTGCCATTCCCTGTCTACTTTGCAAACTCCTGCATATCCTGTAAAACCCCACTTAAACATCGTATTTCTTTTGCTCTCTAGGACTTAAGAATCGCTTCTGCATGTTAATAAGAATTAATTCCTTCTGCATGTGTCTTTCCTTAGATCTTTACTCATACCTTTCTTATGGCACCTACTGCAATTTAGGTATTTATGTATTGGTGGTTTCTACTTGGCTATAACTTGAGAGCAGGGACCATGTCTTGAATTGCCTTCATGGCTCCTCCCTAACCCTCCAAGAAACATGGGACTGACATAGACTGTGTACAATAAATGGCACTGAAAAGGCCAGAGTGCTTCCGTTGGAACAATGATCAAAAACTTGTTCATGCAAGTGAGTAGTATATGCACACTTGAAGCTTCGTTTGCCCTGTGTCAGGATTTGCCAGAATCCGCTGGCATGTGGGACCTGGAGTGACCATGGTGGCTGGCTCTGATGAACAGAATGTAAGAGTGGTAAGTTCCTGACCATTGAGGGGGATGCAAAACATGCACCAAGTGATCCTTGGAGACACCTGCTTGGGAGTTGCCACTGAAGGTCAGCAGAAAGATGAGCTGGGGGGACATAAGAGTTTCAGTTGTGAATAACGAAGGGGAACAGCGTTACACATAACGTTCATATGCAAATGATCCTTTAACTGCATGTAAGTGATTTCCCTGGCATGCGAAGCTAATTCTCAAATTCTTAGTTGTCCTGCTTAACTGTCAGAGCTTAATGTTCTTAAAGTTCTTAGCCCCTCATCTATGACTTGGTGCCTGTCTTATTTTGGTGTCCTTGGGTGTCCTTTTATCTTATTTCTTCTTCCTGTAGTAACCACATCACCACCAGAACTCTTTTCTCTTAATACGTATAACTTCTCCGACTCCAGAGTTGTCAGTGGTTTAGTCTCTGACATATGTTCAAGCCACAGCCAAGAGTTATTAAAAAGGCTTCTCATTCTTGTTATTTTTTAGTGTTAACATTTTCTAATAGGTAATGTATTTGTGAGGCTGAAAGCTCAAAACAATATAAAAAGCATACTTTGGGAAAAAAGTCCTTGCTCCTGCCTGTTTCCCTTCACCCCGTTTCCCACATTCCCCATAGTAATTACTTGCATTCGTTTTTTTAGGCACGATTACAGTGTTGGCTTATGTGAATATGAGCAATGAAAATGCATATTTTCATCTTCCTCCTGTGGTAGACAGAATAATGGCCCCCCAAAATATCCACATTCTAATCCCCAGAACCTGTGAATGTTACCTTTCATGGCAAAAGGGATTTTTTTGCAGGTGTGTTTAAGTTAAGGATCTTGAGATTCTCCTGAATGGGTCCCTGGTAACCCCAAGTGCCCTTATGAGAGGGATGCAATAGAGTAAGAGTGAAGACAGGAGGCAATGTGGGGAGCGGAGATTTGAAGATGAGGAAGGAAGGGGTCATGAGCCAAGGAAGGACAGTCTCCAGAAGCTTTTCAGCAAGGAAATGGATTCTCGCCTGAGCCTTCAGAAGGAACCAGCCCTGATGACAACTTTAGCTCAGTCAGACTGATTTTGGACTTCAGACTTCCAGAACTATTAGAAAACAAATGTGTGTGTTGTAAGCCACTAAGTTTGTGATAATTTATTACAGCAGCAATAGGAAACAAATATACCCTTATCCTTCTTCATACAGAGGTGACAGGAATTACATCCTTTGTTCTCAGTACCATTTAAGGGGGGCTGAGTGGGGTCTCAATACCTTTAACTCAGTAATTTATTAAGCCAGTTGCTCTCAAATGGTAGCAGTCATCAGAGTTAGCTGAAGGGGCTTTTAAAAGCTGAGTGCTGGGCCCTAGCCCCAAAGTTCTGACTTTGCAGGTCTTGGTTGGAGCCTGAGCACTCGCATCTGAAACAAGTTCCCAGGGGATGCCCACGCTGCTGGTCCACAGAACACGCTTTGAGAACCCATCAAACAATTCCATTTCTCTTGGGTCTGAGGCATCTGACTACTCCAGGCCCTCCCCCTCCCCCTCCTCTCTGTTTGAACTTTGACCTCTAGACCTAGGCCCCTCCTGTCTCCTTGATAGTTTTTCTAGCTCTGTTACCCTCTCTTCATTTTTCTGCTTCTGTTTCATAAGAGTTTGACCCAAAGCCAACAGTCTCCCCTGAGGCCTAGGCCTATGGGATGGCCAGTCAGAGTAGAGCCGCCCAGGATGATTTCTCTTTATTGGGGGTGGGGGTGGGGGTGACAGTGGTGAGTTAGGGGAGAGGGGCTGGACTCAGATACTCAAGATCACACACTGAGCCTCCCGAAGGCCTCACCTCACATTACTGTTGACCTTCAATCTCCTCTGGAGCTCCCAGTCTCCCTGTGCTTGTGCTGTGTGCTAGGTCTTTGAACTTCTTGGCCAAGAGATGATGCAAGGCTCTGAACACTCAATGAATGAAAGTAAAATTAACTTCCAAAAGGTCTTAGACACAGTCCTATATATTACTCTTGGAAGAGTTTCATCAGGAAATGTGAGTCCTTAAATCTTTGTTTATAATGACAGATGTTGCTACTGTCTCACAGTATACATTTTTTTTCCTGAAAAATTGTCTACCTATTTGTTGTCTTCTCTGATTTTTTTAAAAAATATTCAGCTGCTGTAAGAATTGGAAGCAACATTGGAGCATAATCATATATAATCTTTTTTAACGGAAGGTCCTAGAAGGTCAAAGTTTGGTTAAACCGGTTTTGTGTGTTCCAGGAATTCTTCCCACAGGTGGCAGGGAGTTACTGAGTAACCAGTGTCCCTCTCACCCAGGCTTGCTTCCAACTTCTGAGTATTCTTCCCTTCCTCCTCCTGATTGGAAGTCTTGCTTTTTGCCTTTACTTTAGTAAGTTTAAAGCTGGAGAAAAATAACTACAGTTTCCTGTTTCAGTTTTCATAAAATTTATGTAGGCCATTTTTATTTTCCTAGAAATCTCTTGTCTAATATTCTCATGTGTCACCATGGTAACTGGACACATCATTGTTCTTGGGTCTTATGTCCCCTTGGTTGGAAGAAGAGTAGGGTTGGTTTTCTAAATTGGTAGTGACTTCCTCTGAGGAATGAATTGCCTCAGAGTAAACTAGGACATTTTTGTGTAGCGTTAACTACAGACCAAACTCCCTGATGAGAGGCCA